TTTGTTTGAACGTACATCATAATTTTTATTTCCAGTATTATTCAGTGTTTGGGTTAAAAATAAAAGTGTGTTATATTCTAACTTATTTCCATTTTTAAGAATACCAATGTATTCCCAGAATTTCCAATACACTCAAGTCCCAAAAGTTGGCGAAGTTCATGATTATTAGGTAGAATATGGATAAGAAATCTTAATTTAGAATTAAAAGACATTGATGAAGAAATGCAAACTTTAAACCAGTCAAACTTAGTTTACTCAATAAATTTGGTTGAAGATATCAAAGAATGCGTCCCAGTGTTTTCACAAAAAGTAGGATGTTTACCTAACTACGAACTTAAATTACAACTTCGTCCTAATGTGAAACCAAGTTGCACTCGGGAACGGTAAAACTGTTCTCTGTTCCATATGCATTGCGTGAGAAAGCCGAAAAATAGCTTGAATCATTAGAAGCAGCAGGAATTATTACACCAGTAGCGACATGTGATTGGGGGTCTTCTTTATTAATTATTCCAAAACCAGATGGTGGAGTTCGTTTATGTGTAGATTATAAATGTGCAGTAAATGAATGATTGGTTTCCTCAAACCACCTTATACGAAGAATCGACGATGTACTACATAGTCTTCGCCTTTCAAAATACTTCTGTAAGTTAGATCTTTTTAAGGCTTATCTTCACTTAAAAGTAGATAAAAAAAGCAGCAAAATTCAGACAATGGGAACTTACAAGGTGAATAGACTCAGCTTTGGTATTAAAACTGCTCCATCTGAAATTAACCGAGTGTTATGTAATATTTTACAAGAACTTCCAAATACTGAACCTACTTCGATGACATCATAGTACATGGATTGACAGAAGAATGTGAAAAAAAAATTGAAAGCTTGTTTAAAAAGATTTTTAGAATATGATTTACACTTGAACAAAAATAAGTGCTGTTTTTTTAAACTAAAAATTGATATCTCGGACATGTGGTTGAATATAATAAAATAAGTAAATCTCACGAAAAGTTTCGAGCCATGATGGAAATGCCACGTCATGAAGTTGATGGTCAGGAAAAGCTCATAGCTTACGTATCAAGATCTCTCACAGCAGCCAAGTGTAATTATAGCCAGTTAGATCGCGAAGCTTTAGCCATTATTTTTACAAGTACGTTTTTGGTAGAAATGTCACCCTTATTACGGACAATGAGTCTTTAACTAGGATATTCCATCATAACAAAGCACATCCAAAACTGACATCTGCTAGATTTCTTCGTTATGCGTCATTCTTATCTGGTTTTGACTACACAGTTAGATTCATTCAAGAAGAGCAAGCAAAACAAAAATGTTGATTGTTTATCTCGTGGACCTATACCTCATTAAAATATTTTAACAGATCTTTTGATCAATGAAGAAATATGTAGCTCAGTTATATTCACAGACAATATCTACTGAACAAGTTACTTATGAAACTGTAGCAAATGAAACTTTAGAAGATCCAGAACTTCGATTAATATTTTAACGTCTCAGATCCCAGTCTACTGATGAACCATATACCATTTCAGACAGAATTTCATTTCGACAGGATCACGTTGTCCCAAAAAAATTATAACGCACAGTATTTAATGAATTGGATTCTACCCATACTGGAATTACAAAGATGAAGCAACTTGTTAGACGATATGTATATTGGATGAAAATAGATGAAGATATTGAAAGATTAGTCGAATCCTGTGAAAACAGCGCTCGTACAAAAAATAGTCAAGCAGCGGCACACCTATGGGACAAGCCAAAATCAAATTGGGAACGCTTGCATATTGATTATACCTGTCCTTTTGATAATCAACATTTCTTGTTATGCATTGATGCTAAATCTAAATGGGCTGAAGTCAAAATTTCATGAAACACTTCTACAAAAGAGACAACTATAAATCTTCAGGAAGATATTTTTTCTGTCCACAGATATCCACAAGTTCTTTTCTCCGACAATGGTGCTGTATTTACTAGCGAAAAGTTCAAAACATTTCGCAAAGGTGTTGGCATAGTCCAACAACAAATTCATCGCACCTGAACATTGGTTAACCAATGGGCTTGCTGAACGTCATATTCAAACTCTAAAACACTGTCTTAAAGCTGTAGCCATGGATCCTATCCCTTTACCTATCAAGATTCATCAGATTATTTTTATATACCGAACAACACCCTTAGCTAGTGGACAGTCACCAGCGCAATCCGTACATATATTATTACAGTAACGCTCAAAATCGGTTTTGTACCAAATATAAGCTCCTGTCATGCTCAAATACCATGAATGGGGTACCGTTAGATTCAGAATTTCACGGTATTAGCGAATCGTATTCTCCCTTTTTGTTTTTCTTTCTAAAATAAATAAAGTCGATACAAACATTTTGCTAGGCTTCAATACTGGAGCAGTGGTAGGTCTGTAGATCAATGCAGGACAAATTGGACCTTGAAGATTTTGATGCGTACAGCAAGACCCTGATAGTTCCTCCGGAACTATCGGATCCTGCGTTTTTAAGCCCAAAAACGTACTATTTTCGAGATAACGCAAGGCATGGGGTTCGCATCCACACAACCTGATGTTAATTGTAGTACTGGCATTAGATATATGTCTCATTTTGTCGACTTGAGGTCTCTATGTTCGAGACAGGAGGAGTTTATATTATTTATCAATGGTTTTTTTTTGATCGGCAAGCCATATCATCGTTAATTCTTCACCAAATCTCAAGATTGAGCCAATTCCGAAGGCTTCCTTCTCTTTCAGGCGGGCAAAATAGTCCACTCATCCCAAAAATTCAGACAAACAAGTTATGAAAGAAAAGAAACTTTATTTACGAATAACTAAAAAATTACACACTTTTCCCTTCCTTTATTCCTACGATTATATAAAACATTACTAAATTGTCTATAAAAGGAAAAAAAAAAATCATTGAAATCGGTCAACTTTTCGCAAAGATACAGCTTATTGAAATTTGTAAATATGTTGGTTCCAAAAAAAATGTAGATTTAAATTAATTTTGTTTCCTTTGTCGATTATATTTCTTGATAAAGTAACAATTGATTACTTTATCTTTTGCATTATTTTCTTTTCTTATTAATTTGGCATTTGATAAAAGTATGCTGTGCGAATTTTTCGCACGGGCCTACTAGTATTACCTAAATAGAAGAATTCGAATCAAACTAGATGCATTACGACCTAATCATAATGCCTACTAACCATCGACTCCTGAATTCAACATCAGGAAATTCAAAGAGGTAGAGAGAGTTCAGGGACAGTTTTATTTAAACAATCGCAATGTCTGGTTAATTGGTGTTGTAAAACGTCAGTTAGGTCAGCGACACTACGCAATTGAACTTGACACTGGAAGAACTCTGAAACGTCATGTGGACCAATTATGTTCAACCTTGGTGAAGAAACACTTTTGCATCTAGAGAAACTCCACAGACTTTTGGAGTACCTATGGCAACTAATGAGAACCAAGAGGATCGACTACGACCAATCCATCCTGAACCATGGCATTCACATCCTCAGCCCCAGCCTGAGAGACCTATAGAGCCAGAGCCTAAGTATCTACCGAGAAGGTCAACACGAATGAAGCGGCTTCCATCGTATTTAGATGATTATCAACTTTTGATTTTATTAACATTGAACCTTATTTTAGTGAGGGAGAAGAACAGTCTCCTCCCTCACTAAAATAAGGTTGTAAGAGATAAATGCTATGAATACAAGTGGTATAGCCTTAACAACAACTATATGTTTGAATGTACATCGTATGCTTTAATTGCAGTATTATTCAGTGTATTGACATGGTTAGGTTAAAAATAAAAGCGTATTATATTCTAAATTATTTCCATTTTTAAGTATAGCAATATATTCCCAGAATTTCCAATACACTCAAGTCCCAACAAGTTGTAGAGGACTTAAGGTTTTCGGCACTTTTTCATTTTCGCCTCTCTAACACAGCATCGCGTTAAAGCCGACTTTACCTGAACATTACACATCGGAGATCTGACAGCTCAATCTAATTCACTCTCCACAAAAAAAAAGTGCAAAATGCATCTAAAGAAGTTTTCACTTTAAAAATTCCTCTCTCTTGAAACTAAGAATTATATGAATTCTGCTGTATTTAATAACACTCATAGATAAACTTAAGCAGTTTATTGGATCATATATTATATCTGAGGGGATAAAAAAATAAATAAAAAGTATCTTTGTTCTCTTTATTTACCTCACAAGCATAGTTATTAATTTGTAATTGTGTTCATTAGTCACATCAATATTTGTAATGATAGCATACCATAAACAATGTCACTCTGTCTCATATATGAACTTATACTTTAAGATATCACAGACACAATGTTAGAAGGCTCTTAACGATGTAGATTATTCAAAAAGATGGAAAGTTTTTTATAAAAAATTAAAGATAACCAAATAAATTTAAATTAATAAACATTGATTCACTATATACAATGGTTAAACTATATTATCATGTGTTTATTTTGGATTAAACATTAACAAAAATTTTGTCACTTATTTTAGATAGTTAAATTTTTATCATCCATACATTTTGATAATCGTTTAATGTTATTTAAGAAAAATATATAAATAAATTAAAACAATGGATATAATTTAGTATCACTAAAAAGAATGTGAATGCAAGCAGTTAAGTTTATTGTAATCTATCAAATTGATAAATTAAAGATAATAAAATTAATATAATTATATGTAATAAGGTTGTCCAGTAAGTCAAACCAGCAAGAAGTTTATAATTCAGATATTAATGAAGAAATCTCTCAAACAACTACAAAACCAATATAAAATAACTTCTTCATTTATCAGTATTCATAATTTAAAAAAGTAATTGAAAATATCATGGTAAGGTAACAATAAAGAAAACCAGGTACATCAATTTTCTAAGGAATGTAACAACAAACATCTCATTATCCATACTTCAACAATATTTAAAAATTACATTTAAACAAATAAATTTACAAACACAAATTAATAAATATCTGATCCATTCACGAACCTTAAAATTCAGATAAATAATAGTGGACAAGTAATAATAAGGCAAAAAGAAATTAACTAACAGTAATAATTAAACAACGTTTCCATTTCAAAGGAAACAACAGTAAATAAATTGAGCATTTCGACTCAAGATTAAAATTAACACACACAATATATTACTGGATGATTGAAGTTTTGATTAAAATTTAAATTAGATTAGCATTTTTGATCCCAGTGACTTCAATTTTTTAAAAAAGCATCTCTACAATTATAGTCAGGGAAATACAATCAATCAATCAATACCAAGACCAAGACCAGCCCATCTATCAGGAACGGGCAGGAAATATCTGTTCATTGCAGCTATGAATCTCTTTCGATACTCATCAGGTGAAATTATAGTTGGTTGTTTGCCTTGTCCGAGCCGCTTCACCATTGTTTCTAGTTTTTTATCCCACGTGAATGTTCTAATATAATCTGGATTACAAATCAATGCAATTATTAGGTTTATTAATACATATTATTTCATCATTTTATAATTACAAATTCTTCTTAAACATCAAAATACAAAATTTATATAATAAATTATGTGAGCCAGTTAGAACAAAAGTATAAATAAAAAAAAAAATAATTATTTGACATATTTTAGCAATTCATGTATACAATTACGTTAAAATGTCTTATATAAAATCAATCATCTAATTTATGTTACATATTTTAAATTAACTTTTTTCCATTAAAATATACTGGTTAAAAGATAAATGAGGGTAACAGCTTTAAAACTATGTATCGATTCTTATTAACACTAAGATTAAAGTAATAAATTTAAAATAATAATTACCAATTATGCCAACTACAAGCTCTCGATTGGAAATGTCCAATCCTACCAGAAGGGAATAGTCCATTACTGATTGTGTAGCAAGAAACTGAGTGTCATTTTGTATAGCCTGCATCAACACTGTTTTAGAATGAGGCAGTATATAAAGAGGATCATCACAAGTCACTGGAATAACATTAAATAATAAATACATCATATTAAAAAAGATAGAGTCAGCCAAAATTATTTGTTTTATGCAAACTTTTAATGAATTAATATATTTCCATAGCATAAAAAATGTAGGTGGCCTTTAGAAATGACAGAATATGTAATACGGTAGAATAGTTTCCTTTTGAAACTCTCATGAGCGATAGATTTTGATGATTGAAATATAAAATGAAAAGGAATTTCATGGAGAAGTGACAAATCCCGATTTCGATCCTTAAATTCCTTCAACAACTTTAATAAAAGTAATTGAAACGGATTGAGATGTTTCAAAGTTAGCGAATCGAGATGGGCTAGGTAGTTTTAAAGATTTCAACATGACCATGAAGACCCGGTATAATTCTGAAGAAACTATCGGGCTCAGCATTTTAAAGGCCAAAAATATGACCCGTATTAGATAAATCATACTTACTGCCGAATGTCTCTATGCTAAAAATTAAAATATTGCTTTTTATGTTACTTTTCAACAAACTATGAATCTATAGAAAAGACAGATGGAGGAGATTACCTTATGATACCTTGGGCACTTCGGATAATATAGAAACAAGTTTTTCTATATATTTAATAAATAAAAAAAATATCTAGGTAAGGCTACTATACTCTTTGTAACAGACTTCTGAACTCTTAGTGAGAGAACTACAAACCAAGATTCAAATGTACCAAACAAATAGTTCTTGAGCGAGAACAATAATGGATTAGTGTAAGTTCAGAGATTGCAGTGTCTAATTGCTTACTTACTATTAAACTGGAGGAATATTTTCCAATGTTAGTAAAATATAATGCATTAAGCTTAAGCCCAAGCCTGAACAGAGGAAGGGCTACAGCTCTGGGACACAGCCCGGCATATCAGGTTTTATTTTTTAACTTATAAATTTATATGGTACTAGTCTAGAAGCCGGACAAAACCTATTTATTGATGTTTATTAAAATGGATGTAATTACATAGTGGATATTATTACACCTCGAATCATATTTATGTGAATTTTTGTGGCAGCAGGCTTACAGAAAAGAGGACCGTTCCTCGCTATTTTAAATAGCATTAAACTATTTTGTCTGCCAACAAAATGAAATGAAATTAAATGAAAATAAAACTGTTTTATATGTACATATGTTGTTTATATGTGTTGTTTTCTGTTATTATTACATTTGTTTTTATCTATTTCAATTTCCATAAATATGATATTTCTTTTTACCAATTTCCAATTAAGATATTTCTTTTTGTCTATTTCATGTATATGGTGATATGTGTCGTAAAATAAAAGTATTTTTTTATTATCACATCTGATATTTTTTGTTTTTGAATTCCCATAATAAATATGACTTTTTTTTTGTCTATTTCAATTTCCATAAATATGAATAGGAAGATAGAGATTATCAGTGTTATAAACATTGGCAAATAGCAGTCGATCCAGACTGGATTATAGACAAGTACCATTTATATTAAAATAAAGTATATAATATTATATATACCACTACTGTTAGTAAAAAAGTGGTATGTAACAATTTTACATTCTTATTCTTGTTGTGCTAAAGGTGACATTTTATAGTCTGCAACTGCTAAAAATAGTCTGCCCCTATGGAAAATAGGGAGAAATAATACTAATGAATCATAAAGAAATAAGCAGTTTTTATGCTCTTAATTAAAAAACTGAATTTTCACACACAACCTTTTGCACTGACAGTAGCGATATGTTATACAATAAATGGTAATATCTTTACATAATAGTTTTGTCGCCTGCTTTATAAAAAGCTTCGGTTAGCTTTTAGTGGTATAGTCAATATTTATTAAGGACTCATGAAAATTATTTCTGAGGCTCTTGGTTTCTCTCTTTGGCCCTGCTGCTAATATCTCTGCCATTCTTACTTTTTAAAAGTTGTAATTCAGAATGTTTCAAGCTAATATTATTCACTAAAACTACAATATAATAAATATCATGTCATATGAAACTAAAGTGTTAGTAGGCTTATCTACGATTAATAAAGGACTATGTAAATGACTCACTATTCATGAGGTTCTCATCCAGAAGAACTGTTTCTCTATGAGCTCCAAGGGTAGTGTCGACTAATCTGTTTCTCATTGAACCTTTCAAATCAAATTTGTTTTCCACAACCCGACCATGAAACAAATGTTCCATGACTAGTAAACTGGATCTGAAATAAATTTTAATTACTAAGGTCCTAGGTGCAGATCTCTGAGGCTTATTTTCACGATACACACTGTAGTTGTAATCTATAAACTTCTTAATCTTAAGTAGTTAATTCAAATCTGATATTAGTAAATACAATCATCAGCTCTTAACTGTGTTGATACAATATTACAATTCTTTTTAATTTACTATAACGTCAAGTCTCTGCTGGATTTTCTAAAAGTAAAAAAACAATTGCTCCACAAGAGCAGCCAATCATGTAAATCTTATATTTTTTAATGTATAAAGGCTGATTTATGTAAGAATAGGCAGTATAAAACATGACTATCTCATGGGACACATTCATCTTTTATATTTATTAGAAGTTAATGGTAGAATTCTAAACCCCATATATATATATATATATATATATATATATATATATATATATATATATATGATTCCTTCCCCTGCCTGCTATTATATAACCACAATCATACATATCATCAGTTTATTGCTAAAAGTTTAAAAGTTACTAAGTGCATGTTTGATATAGATTAACTTTAAAATATGTTTTTATTTAATTTGATCTTATTTATTGATACAAAAACACCGTAAGTACATTTTATTTATCAGATATAGTTACAATAAATGTACAATTTTTTGATTTCACAAAGGGAAAATTCATCTAGGTTCATAATTATTTGAGGTTATGAAATGTCACTAAATGATTTTTTGCAATAACCCGACGATATATCAGCAAGCACAGATTATATAAAAGGAACATTGGTACTTGCCTAAAAGTTGTATTTGTTGTTTCACTTTTGCAGGTAATGCGATAAACTCCAAGAATCTTTCCCAGCAAAGTAGGGGCTTTGGTTTTCACACAAGCTTCCATATAAGTGAAATACTGTGGTGCAAAATCAACAAATATCTGTGTTTCTATTCGTGTCATTTCTTTAAGTATAAATCGATCATCTTTAAAATCAAACGTAACCAGGATTTAGTACTACAAATATAAAAATAAATAAGCTACAATCAAGTAACATAAATGAAATTTGTCAAACCTTTTGTCTTATTGAAATTTGATCCAGATTTTCCACCAGATGCGGCCCACGCCACGCATCTCGATAAAGATCTAATATAACCTTCTTCTCCTTCAGGTAATACAAGTGACCTCAAGCGATTGAAATCTTCAGGAAAAAAGACCTTAACACGAAAACTAGCTGTCGAATCACTAAAGGAAACCTATAGAAAAGATATTAAAACATCTCATTATCAAAAAGTAATCAGAGAGAAAAACATGTCAAACAATATACAAAAATTCACTTCAATATATGGAGACTGGCTTTTAGTCGGTTTTCCTTCTTTAGTTTCATCTTCCATGAAAACATCAGATGGTGAAGTACTATACTGGCTAGCTTCTCCAGGTTTTAGTTTCTCACTTCTGAAATTAAACATTACTCTAATATTTTACAGCAGAAATGCAAAGTTTAAAAAAAAAAAAGAAGAATCTTTTACTTACGATCCTGTGGAAGGAGTTCTGAGAAAAGAAAGAACACCGCTTCGACTGCCCATGCTCCCTGTATCAGATGAGTCTTTTGATACATCTAGCAGGCTTTTCTTTTTAGAAATGGGGCTAGTTAGCAATAAATAATTTGGTAGTAATTCAATAATTATTTATTAAGATATAAAATATATTAATGTGTTAATTGGTGATATTTAATTTGATTTATTCACTGCTATTATTTTTTTTTCATTAGAGTATAGATGAGATCACTTAATTGCACTTAGACACAATTTATTGCAGTGCCTGATCCACATGGGAATTAAGTAAACAGATCTTGACCAGGTGCTTTGGGTTCACACTGAATACAACTGGTCATGAAGGCTCTTCAGTTATATACAAAACAAGTTTTTAATTATTTTTTTAAACATAATACAACAAGAATTAACTTTTAACCATTAATAAAGAATTTTGTACAGTTTCTGAAAAATTAAATAAAATAAAAGTTTAAGGGTAATGATTACAATTTAAGGGGCCTTAAAAATCCTGGGTTGATGAGGAAAGAAAACAGCCCTGAGATGAAAAATCAAGCAAAGGATTGGAAAAGTTGGATCATGTTGATTTTCTTGTAAGTATATGAATTTTAGCAAATTTATATGAAAGAACAAATTTGTTATAAAATTGAATGTATAGACTTAACTAAAAGTATTTTTCCATTAGAATTTCCCAGGATGAATTCCCTTGTTCGGTACTTGTGTTATTCATTTGAATAACAATCGTACTTCTAAAATATCTAATTTTATTAACCTTAAAGTAGAATCAGAAATATTTTTAAAAATTAAAATACCTGGAAGGTGTCTGATCTGTGGATTTGGTCCTCAATTGTTCAAAAGCAATTTTATAATCATGTGAGCTAAGAACATAAGCAATAATTGAAGAAGGCTCCCTCTCGTACACAATTATAGGCATTAAGTAACCGAGAGGCAGGGTGTAATGTTCCGTTTGACCTAAAGGACTCTATAAACAAATTTATTTAGTTAATTACTTTGTAAATTTTAGTTAATATTTCACAAAAAAATTATAGCCCCTTTCTCATTAACACAATCTTTTTCAAATAAGATGTATTCTATTCTAAAGCATAAACATCTTACAAAAGGAATTCATTGATGTTAAAAAGGTTTGTGGTCAATTGAAGAGGGGCTAGATTTGGTTGGTAATAGGTTCTAATAGAATTTAAATTTCTGTATTTAATGTATCACTATTCACTATAAAAAAAAATCACCAGCATACATACCTGTACTGCAGTATAAGTGGATGAATTCGGTAGAAGCTGAGAAAGAATTGTCTTAACACTTTTCTTGTCGCTAACAGTAGGTTTTATCTCAGTGGCTATTTGTAATACTGTGTCCCCTTAAAAAAAATTAAAGCTTTATTTAATATTCATCAAACTGCTGACTTTCCTCTAGACTATCAGAAACTTATTTAATGGAAACCAGGTATTTTCCAAAATAGAAAAGTGGTAAAACTAGCACATAAAAGCTTGGTAGAATGTTATAGCCATTGGGAGACGACATGAGTTCACTTTTAATCCATTTCAATTTCATTTAAATGGTTGAAAGACAGGCTAAAAGGTAACTGGTCAAGCAGCTTCATTTTTAAAAGTTATAATAGGAGGTGGAAATCATTAATAAATTGAAAAGCAATATTTAATAAAAACAAAATGAAGTCTGTGATTCAGTATGCTAAAAAATTATAAAATTAATTTTATATTACTTTGAGCTTAAAAGCATGTGATATTACTATTATTAAAATTGAGATAAAATAAAATTACCATCTTCCAAATCTGTTATATCAACTTCTGTACCATCATTTGGAACCTTCTGATCATCGAGATCCACAACAGAGTCTTCAGCCAAATGACATTCAGAGGTTTCTAAATTATCTTCTGCCATGCCCTCAGCAACCTGATTCAGGAAATTAAAGAATAAATTACTATAATTACTTAATGGTAATAATTTATTCCATTTTCACAATATATTTGATTATTTAAATGATGGGAGAATGACCTAATTAGTCAAGCACAAAACACCTGAACTCAGGTTTGAGTTCCAGCTATAATATGCAACTTATTTCCTGTTGCATCAGCTAATGCAGGAAGTTTCTTAGGATTACAGGAAGTTTCTTTGATTACACAGTCAAATTTTAAAAATAACAAATTTACTCAAACAGAAGTTACTACAACATTGATTGCATGAGTTGTTTCTCTCAGAAACCTCATTTCACAGCTGAAGTGTTATTTATAGAACACAATTTTTTTTTTCATCAGGAACTATGTATGGCCTGCGTGGCAAAGAGTTTGGAGAACCCTGAGCTAATGGATCGACTAAGGGGAGGAGAATGTGAGGAGCCAACCTTTCAATATTATGGTAGAAAACATTATTTGATAATAAGGTCATATACTATGGCTATTGGTACATAATCTGGTAATGATATATCATAATTAATAAACCATCATCAATTTATAACAAAAAGTCAATAAGAAACATTAAACAAAATTAAATCCCTTGGGTTCTATTTTCTTTCCTTTTTAATACAGATTTAATCAAATTGACCAAAAAGAAGGTTTCAAATATATTTCAAGCCATGAAATATAATATGTAAGTTAACTTTTGATTATATTTTATTACAAAACAGTTTAGTTATTTACAACAATGTTTTTGAAACAACTATTCGACATAGCAATTGATGATAGAAAAAAACACTTCATATTTTTTTAATAAAAGTGTTTTTTTTTCACCACCAGCAACAAAGAGAGTTGTCTTCTGTCTTGAACACTCATCATTTATAGGAATTTTTTCATATTAATATCTTTTATTTTCTATTCACATCACCTCATTTTCCTCTTTCCAACCCTTATTCATGTTTTCATATTGTCATAGTGAGTTATCATTATCTTATTATTGTCTATCTTGATACTATCTTACGATTATTATTGTCTAGCTACTACTTCTTTTTCCTTATAAATAATATTATTTAATATATCATAATGTTTTTATGTACATATTATCATGCTGTCCATTACACTCATCACTTTTATAATCTAGTATGTCCTGCATATCATACATAACATAATCTTTCATATCTTATCATCACCTAAAATACTTGTATCTTCGATTCCGAGTTTTCAACGGAAATACAAATTTTGAGGTCTTTTTAGTCCAAATAGCTAAGTTTCACAAAATGATGTGTATATGTGAACTGTATATATGTAGTAAATATGTATATAAAGAAGTAGATACTTCATATTTTAGATACTCCAGAAATTAACAAGAGAGAAAGTGGACATAAATCAACTCCGACTAGAACATTGCCATCTTACCCAGTAAAGAATCTGCACCTGTCAGCCTTATCAAACAGTGAAGCACATAGTCAAGAACTGCCTTAAATAAAGGGGGAAATGGTCTATTTCGAGATCAGGTGACAAACAGAATTACTTTTGCAAAATGATCCATTTTACAAAAGAGATAGGGAAGTGATAGAAACTTTGAAGGGGAAATGAAAGCCATTCTCTTAGGCCGTAGATGTTAACTGAACGGAAAGACAAGAAAGTGGCTTTCTTTGTTGACTCACAGGCAGCCATTTTGTCCCTAAAAAATGGATATAGTATAAATCCAAATGTTCCTAAATGCCATCAATATTTGAACCGATTAAAAGAAAATGGGACAGAAGTCGCTTTCCAGTGGATACCAGGCCATTGCGGGCTCCACGGAAATGATGAAGCTGATAAACTGGCCAGAATAGGTTCTGGAATGATCCAACCCGATATTCCTCTGGCCATGGATTCAACAAAAAGAATCATAAAGCAGACCCTCCAAAGCTCACTGAAAGAGAAATATGTACAAACAATTGAAGGGAAACGATGGAGTGGATTGCTGGAAGAAAGTGGCAGGATTCCTAGAGACCTTCCTAGAGGGCAAGCCGTGGCATGCTTTAGAATGCTCACAGGCCACGATTTCCTTCAGAAGCACCTCCACTGCATCGGTGTAAAAGATAGCCCGACATGCCCTCTATGTTCCTTAGACATAATGACAGGAGAACATCTTGATACATGCCCTGCATTACAGGACATAAGATGTTGCTTTAACGAAATGGACAGTTTTTATGCTCGAAAAGCAAAATTGTATTGGACTGCAAGAGCACGCATGGCTAACGAAGCAGGCGTTACTTAGGCGTAGGAAAAAAAAAAAATAAATAAAAAAAAATAAGAGATAGGAATCTGCAGCCTCCATTAAAGAAAATGGATGATAATAACTATTAGCAATTTTTAACTGTATAAACCAAAATAAATCAATAATTAATTTGATGAATTTTTTCTTTGTGAAATTAAATTATTGTGCAGCTGGTGTAACTATTTTTGATTAATAATAAGATTTTTGTTATTTTGAAACGCTCGATAGATTTTTGCATCAATAAATTCAAAAATGTATACTTAAACAAATATTTTATTACACTTTAAAAAATTATTTTTAATGGTGAGAAATGAAGATTTTTTTTTTTTTTTTACGATAAATATGAAGTCTAAAGCAATAGCAAAAACATATATAAAAGCAATAGAAACAGTCATGGAAGAATGAAATGGAAGTTGACTTATATCTGTCAAAATATAATTTGCAACAATTTTTATACTCACTCCTTCTATAAAGTCATTAAGGGCATTCTGGGAAGATCTGCTCTCCAAAGACTTTCTTTTGTCATCTTTCTTTTTTGATTGATTGGCCTCGATACTGGATAATCTAAAATTCCAGTCTTCGATTGTTGCAGCAAAACATCTTCTCAACATGACCAACATATCATCCAAACACCATATATCTCCAACTGAATTTTTTTATTTTAAAAAATTAAAAGATTAAAGAGTAACTATTAAATTTCATATCAATGTATTAAAATGATGAATATAATGACATTAAATAAACTAATTAAGTATTCAGAGAAAACATTTGATTTTATTTTGCTTCCTCCCAAATAAAGAAGAGAAAAAAGACATTTTATGTTAATCATTAATTTTACATCTAAAAACAAAAAATCTTTTTGATGATACCTGATGACTTATCATCCACAGAAGAAGACAATTTTTGTTGAATATCCTCAACTCGAACTTTAAATGATGCTTGATCTTTTACTAATTGTTGCCTCCACCCACTTATCATTGATGTGGTACAAGCAGCTAAAAATGAACAGTAGTATAATAAAGTTTGCTAATTCAAAATAATAATCTTGGATTAAGAAAAAACTGCATGTCTTACTTTCAGAAACAGGCAGAACCATAATTTTGTTCAGAATAGTATTAAAGAATTGGGCTATCATCAAATTATAAGTTTTTAACTCCTCTTCAACTTCACTCTTCCTTTCGTCAAAAGGTTCCCGCTCAGTGTTCAAAACTTTTGGAGGAAAGCATATTTCCCAAATAGAAATTTTCGAGAACCTACAAACATATTGGTTTGCATTAAATTAATTTCTGGCAAGTGTCATGACTTCAGCTTATAAACAGAAGTTAAATTTTTTTTTTTTTAAATTATATATAAATTAAATATATTTAAAAAGTATTTTCAAAATTAAAATCCATCCGTGATAAAGTAAGGATCTTTCGCAGAACTTGGATTAACATTTATTGGTTGATTTTATTTTATGATTTTTCAATAAAGTTTTAAAATAATGAAATAAAATCGACCAATAAATATTAATCCAAGTTTTGTAAAGGATTTTTGTTTATTGAGGATGCACTTTAATTCATAAAATATTTTTTTTGTCAGAGAAAGAATAACATTAATGAAACATTCTCTTTGTAAAAAAAATGGTCTTATAATACCCTTTTTTAAAAAAAATTTCAATAACAAAAGTCAACAAGCAATACTAACCTGAATGAGGCAAGTGTATTGTTTAAGCCGAAATACTGAACACACTCTTGATGCAGAGAATGGTTACAGCTGTCTTTTGCCCTCAATGTGTACATATCTCCATGGAAACGGAGTTCAAGGTATTTGGCAAAGGAAAGCGACCAGGTGGAAGGAGACATGCACCTAATGTTCGTTACCTAAAACCAAACCTTCATTTCAGCTAGTGTTAATTAAAATGAATTCCGTTTCATAGATAAATGAAATTTAAACACACCACAGGACATTTAGGGCACCAAGTCCACATAAGGATTTTAGCAGAGGGTAAAGGACTTTCGAGATTTCTCACTTTAATGTTCAGTGCTCCATTGGAATGAACGAACCTTCTAGTGTGGGCAGACATAGGAACATCACAAGAAGCTGAAGTGCAGTCAAATCGAAAGCAGTATCTCTCAAGAAATGCACCAAGAGCTATGTCATTTCTTCCATAAAATTCCATTTCTACTATCCTTTCAAAAAATAAATAATAAAAAAAAATTATTGTTTTGAACATTAAATATAAGCTCTTGTAAAAAACACTGCCAATTCACCCAATTGTTACTAACATTTTAGTAATCAATTGATTAGATAAAGTAAATCAATGCTAAATACATACGACGGGTTTACACAAAATTCAGGGGCCACCCTAGAAACAGGAGAATAACTGGAAAGTAACACTGAAAGTCGTTGATGATTTTCAGGATCTAGGACATCCTTCGGTCCAGAATAACTTTGAACTGGTTTGACCTGAGGTGTTTCATAAGGTATGAGTGGAAGTCGACCTCCTGTTGCACGATAATGTGCTAGAAGCTTTTGAACCTCATAAGATTCTAATGATTGGGTTAGCTTAGCTTTCACTAACTCATGAACTTCTTTCAACTGCAAAAAAAGTATATCAATACATCATATGACCAAATCATTTCTAATTTGACTGATATTATGGATCTAATATTTTTTGGTAATCTATAAATATTTAAAAACTGAGTAAGCTGGAAATATACCTTAACAGATTCTAATCGTTTCATAAGAGACGGCGGTTCGTTAAAAGGGATGCATTTCGGCTTTAGAGGCTCGTCTGAGAATTGAAGAGACCAATATATCTTTCTACCAAAAAACATTCGTAAGGGACAGTTGCGGCCATTTTCTGTTTCAAGATATGGAAGCTGAAACTATAAAAAAACAAAAACACTAAGATAGAATTTTATACTGTAAAATCAAAAAATATAATAAAAAATCTTTTTTTTTTTCTTGAATGAATCTTGTTATTTACTTTACACAGACTTCTAATATCCATAAAGCAACATAGAGATTGTACCTTTAAAAATGGAGATATGCTCAAAATATTTTCTTCTAGTGCCTTTCTGAATTTATTACAGAGAGGCAATTCTGAAACAGAAAACTCTTGCTGAATTGAAACCTTTTCTGAGACAGTTTCATCTTCAGGATATATATGTGATCGGAGAGGGTCACTGAAATCACTGACAGCTTCTGAAGAAACAGGTCTGCTACTGATGACTTCTTCTGAATTCCGTTCTTCTAACCTATAAATTATAAAAGAAGCGTAATATAACAAAAAAATGATGTTTGAATAAATATAAAAGCATACATATGGAAAATATTGACAAACCTAATTCTTTTATGAGGTTTTTCTTCATATTGAGACTTTATTTCGTTTTCAGATTCCTCAAACACATTATCAGAAGGGCTTGGTGGTTGAGCTTCAGCATCCATAAGGTAGGATAACTCCAAATAAGAATTATACAACGCAAATATGTATTCCTTTGTGACTTTCTTCAGTTTAGCAAGGTCCTGTCCTGAAGCTCCTCTCAAGAGAATCGTACATCCAAGATGCGGCGCTGGGCAACCTTCAAACATCATGAGCGTCTTCTTCCTACCTTTAGAAATAAAATATATGAATCAAAGGTGTTATGATAGAGATAAATTCAAGTAATTAGACTGGCCTGTTCCAATAAAGCAGCAACTATAGAAGAGTATTAAATAAAACATTCATTACTTGAATGAAATTGAAATGTAATACAAGTTATATTTTCTGATTTAGCACCCAAAACAACAAATTAGTGAAATTTTATAAATAAAAATGACTAACTAAAAAAAAAAAGGAATGTCCATCTTAACAAATCTAATATTTATCGCCAGAATTCCAAAATATTTCATGAAATCCTATCTATTCTCCTATGTCACAAATACCGTTATTCATTAAGACCTTAATATTTCATTAATTATAACTCTTGAAGGTCCAATGTTTAATAATATGGTTATGTACTCAATGGGGTTGTTATGAAACATATGTAAAATGAAATCACCTATGGCATTACACAATAATAGTAATTAAAGGCTTGGCGCCACTAAATAAGCATCCATCCACCTCCATCAAAACCCAAATCCACAAGGTAATTTTTAACACAATCTTTAGATTTATCTCTCATACTACATCACGGGCACTTGACCATCAATTCAGCACTAATCAAATATTTCATTTATTACTAGGCCAGAAAATTAACTTTCACAGTCTCGATACTATTACTACAATTATATAAAAAGTATGCACATTCTCAGAGTATTTTATAAAAAATTCTTCTTTTAAAACCTACTTTTTTTTTACAGAAAATGTCATTTTTTTTCTTTAATCTTTTTTTTTTTTTTTATGTGTGTTTGAGATTGTAGAGATAAAAATGGAATAAAAATAAAACGCAAATCTTAACTGATAATCATTTTGACATAATTTGCACAATATTCATAAAATATATTCCAGCCAAAGTGTATCATAACACTTTTAGTTATTTGGCAATAATAACTTCCTATCGGTAACAATTGAGTATATTTCTATTATCAACGTAACATGTTAACAAGTTAGTTGACGTTTCGGGATATTTATTCCCATCTTCGGAACTGCAATCCCAATAATCTTGTGGATGCAAGGCTAAAAATTGTTTGAGTTATAATATTGTGCTTGTTACATTACATGTTTGAATTTTGTTGTTACAATAAATTTGTGATTACCTTAAATTTAATAATAATGTGCTCCATCGTCAAATTTCTAATTCATGTTCTAAAATGTATCATCTAGAGCAACATCCTGCTTTTGACCAATAATTGCGTATCTGCCATAGTGAAAAAATTGACCTTTGGATCTGACTGTTTTATCTGACTATTTTTATTATTGTTGTTAATGTTTATTTTATGTATCTGTGATTTTACTTCTATTAAATTTTAATTTTGTTTAATACGTCCGTATAATGAGTTCCTAAATGTTTAGTGTCTACATTAACAACAATAATAAAAATAGTCAGATAAAACAGTCAGATCCAAAGGTCAATTTTTTCACTATGGCAGATACCCAATTATTGGTCAAAAGCAGGATGTTGCTCTAGATGATACATTTTAGAATATCAATTAGAAATTTGACGATGGAGCACATTATTATTAAATTTAAGGTAATTACAAATTTGTTGTAACAACAAAATTCAAACATGTAATGTAACAAGCACAATATTATAACTCAAAAATTTTTTAGCCTTGCATCCACAAGAGTATTGGGATTGCAGTTCTGAAGATGGAAATAAATATCCCGAAATGTCAACTAACTTGTTAACATGTTACGTTGATAATAGAAATATACTCAATTGTTACCAATTGGAAGTTATTATTGCCAAATAACTAAAATAAATAAACAACTTCCCAGAAAAAAGTTTCATAACATATTTACTCTAACAGGAAAACATGTATATGCGTTCATACATAATAAAAAACAAAATTAAGAAATGATTATTTCTTAAAACTGTACCTGTATCAGTAATATATGAAGATACAGAAAACAGGCTAGCTCTACCCAATCTCGGACTTCTCAATTGTGGGTCGACTGATGTAATGATATCTGCACCTGTGATTCGAGCAACTCTTTCAAGCACAGAAGGTTTGAGATTAAGTACAAGCGTTATACCATGAGCTAATAAGGATTCTTGGGCTAGGCGTGAAACACTTTTTCCAACAAGAACTAAATTTGGACCAAGTCCTAATATCTTTGCGACAGCGCGATCCACATATTCCTGCTCCTGTAATACGAAATAAATTAAATTTCATTTATTAAAAAAACAAGTGAAATCTCATTTTGAAATTAAAATTAAAAAAATTATCCAACATCAATCAATTAATTAAATAAAATGATTTTTTTTACTTTCACATACTTATAAATGTAATATATTAGAAAGGAAATTTCAAATCTGAGTTTTCAACAGAAATACCAGTTTTGATGCCTCTTGAGTTCAAATAACCAAGTCCCACAAAATGGTCTGTGTGAGTGTCATCAACCTAACTCAAAAACAAAAAGTCGTACAAAACTGGTATTAGATATTTAAGATAGCTATACGCCTGGGATATTACAGCAACTTGAAAATCAGCTAATCAGAAGTGCTACTATATGTTATCGATGGTACACATTTTTATGATTTCTTCAAAAACAGCTCTAGCAATTTTATTAAACTCGGTATATCGTTGTACAATCTAATGGTCTTTAATATCATTGAGTTCTTATCTTCATTGATGTCACTTAACAGAGCTTAAATGTCGAATTTGCAAAATTTCAACCTCTGAAGTACCTTTAATTTGGTTTATTTGAAATAATTAACTGTTTCTCATTGTTAGTCGTAATGAAAAACAAGTCCAAAATAAAATATGAAAGAATTTGATAATTTATTTAAAGAGAAAAATGTTTGAAGTCGAAAATGAATTTCTGGAAATAATTGTCAGATGGTATGCTTATAATATATTGTTGGAAAGCTGAGAATTTGTGAAAAAACAAAATATAACATACAAAGTCGTAGAAGGTAATGAAGAATGATGAAAAAATCATAAATAATAATTTCTAATAACTAATATTATTTAAAGGAAATTACATGTTTCCAAGGAAATTAAATGAAATTTCTTAATTCAATGTAAACTTCTAAAATTATTTTTAAACTTGAAAAAAAAAAATATAAAATCCAAAGAATGAAGGCAATGACATTGTTTAAAAAACTATTCCATAATACTTATGTGAAAGAAGAAGTGAAAAAATGGAAATATTTCATGGATGTGTAAAACATATGTTTAAACCTTAAAAACATTAACTGTAGTTTAATAACTCAAGATCTGATAATATATTTAAATAATTAGATATCTACTATTGTTTAATTTTGAAAAATCACCGTGTAACATTTTATGAAATTAAATTAGTAAATAATTTCATACATTTTCCATCTGTGAAGTCAGAACATTGTCCACTAACAATTAGTGGGACAACTTTTGGCTTATAAATAGTAAGCAATGAAACTCCATTTTAGTAAACTTTACAATGGAAAAATAAGAGTTTAATAACTGATAGTAGTACAATCCAAAATCATTTATAGGTTAAATATATAATTGATTTTTATATATTTACTTTCAAATCTCTCTAGGTATATTATACATATAGCTCAGAGACTGGAGTTATGTGGTTTACAAAAACAGATATTGAGATACGGTTGAGTAATTGAGTTACAAATTAATTTATAAACAGTTGAGTTACGAGGATTTTATTGCTTACCGTTGATATAATAAATAGGGTTTGTATTATTTTAATGGCCTTAATGATTTGTTAAATGTTAGTTGTAAGGTTTAAGGATTAGCTACCTTAAAATGCAGTTCAAAAACTTTGTAATAGCCCAATTTTGCTAGAAAATAATTTCTATTCAAAGTAGAGCAGAAAGTGAAAGTTGTGAGATGCGCTATAAAAAATAAATAAATAATTTTCAGTATAAATGAGACATGTTTGTTCCAGAGCTGTTAACAGGCTTTCAAACATGTTCTAACTGGATGGGAAAGGGAAACTTTATTGTGTAAAGTCACCACTAAATAAATTTTAGTGGTAGTTAAATTTAGACAATCCAAGGAAGAAAGAATTAAATACCATTCTGAAAGACTTTTTAACATTTGTCCAAAAATGATCAATCATTATTGCATTTTTAATTTGATACATTTAAAAGAACTGCCAACAGACTGCCTGAAAATGAACATAACTTACTCTCTGAAATTACATCTATATGCTATATCAATATAAGAACTCTCAATTCCATGATGACTGTAACTCAAACTCACTGCCCTCTATACTGCACAAAAGTGAATAGGGATATTGTAAGTTATGTATGATTTATTTTACCTAGAATTTTTATCATAAAATACATTGAAAATTAATATAAATAAGACAGTATTTGACCTCTGGAAGTTGTATAAAAGGTGTTTTTAAAAAATAATAAAATTACATGTTTACGTGATCTTGGTTTTATGATTGCGAATTGTAAGCATTTTGTAAAATTTAATAAATTGTGTAATATCGTCTGTTAAACACTACCTCTCTGCACCTATGGGGCATACTGTTTATAATGTCACTGATTTCACAAGGAATTTCATTTCATGAACACGGTAATGATGCTCTCAGTTTTTGAAAGTTAAGAAGCTGCAAATGGTGGTCAAAAAGCCTTCTATGCAATGCATCACGAATGTGCTCAATGGGATTGAGATCTGGAGACAATAAGGTAAGGGGCAGATGTGATGAACAACTTTTCCCCAACAAAGTCGCCTATTATTAATAAGAAAATGGAAATCTCTGCCAGTTAGGATCCTGGTTTGAAGAATGTACTCCTCGATAATTTCTTTAAGATAACGAACTGCAATGAGATTACCTTCCACAATATGGAGTAGAGTCCATCCTCCTGAGTAGATTGCACCTCTAGACTGCATTCAAGGAAGCACAAACTGTGGCAGTATACCCATCCCCTATGCTGAGTAGACTCTACGGCACCTAACATCGCAATAAATACAGAAACACGACTTGTCTGTAAACACTGCAGCATTCCCATTCGTATTAGAAACTTCATTTAGGCTCTCGGGCACTATGAAAAGGGTTGCTTCTTGCAGTAATACCAATGTTTCTATCATAACTTGGTGCCATTAAGTGCTGAGATACACTAACAGTTCTCCTATTGGCACTTCCGGTTTTTCTGAATTTGGTTAATGCGCATGAGACCACAATCTGGGCGACGCCAATTGCATCGGTGATATCCGATTGCCGGTGCCCTTAACCACTCATTTTTATGATAATATTGCAAACTTCTGAATCAATCTTCGCTAAACATAATATTACTGGATTAAAATTGAGAAAAGTCGAAAATAACTGTTGGTTTACAAAATGAGTATTTTTCATGTTGACTATCTTTTAGTTAATAATTTATTAAAATTAAGAATACTTGTTGTTTACTTTTTATGATTACCAACAAATAAGAGAATGTCTAACAAAAAAGAAAAAAAAAATAGTGTGTTTTAATTAAAATGAATAAAATAAGCAACAAATAGTAATATCCCTATTTATTTTTGCATAGTATAGATCTTTCAATTAACTTTAGTCATTTTATGACTTTTGAGTTAAATTATGATTATATTATGATTATTACTTAAAATTTTATAAATTTTCAATGAACACCTGCAAATTAATGCTAAATACGTATATTGCTACATAGTTGGAAAAATGAGAATACGAATTTACCTGCATGATTACGGGCTCTAGGGATAGGTATTTTCCTTCAACTCTCTGATACATAATAGCTGAATTAAGAAGTAGTATTTTAGGATTAACTATTTTTGTAGGCATTGCTCTATGAGCTACATTTTTAGAACAAACAACACCATTGATTATGCAACATTCACTACGCTCCCCACCAGGAACTTTTTTTATTTGAACATACCTAAAACATTTTAACAAATTGTCTTTTTCTCTTTTGGTCATATCACATTTATGTGTGTAGAAGAAAATTTCTAAATGATAGATTTTTTTTTAATAGGAAGAGAGGTTTTAATAAAGGGAATTTAAAATAATTTTGTTTAAAGTATCCATACAGAAAAAAATAATTTAATTAACAACTCACAAGCGTATGTCCATATCATCAGGTCGTGAAACCTCAGGTCGAATTGTACCAGCAACTCTCTGAACCAGAGGTGTAAGGACTTCAGTCCAATTCTGAGGAACACCTTGCATATTAAGAAGTTGCCGGAAATATGTGTTGCAATGTTGAGAGAATGCTGCTCTACAAAAAAAAAAAAAATACTATAATGACAAAAAAACTATATTAACATTTTTTATTTGATTTATTTTTTAACATAATTCATGATTATGTCCAAATAAGTTTGTAGGTTGATACTCATTTACACAGAATATCCCACCAAATCAGTTGCTGTCACATTTATTGATTCAAAGATATGGCCATTAAGCTGTTCTGTTATTCTGAAAGGATAACAATTCAAAGAAGAATCCAGCCTGAATTTACATTATTCATTGTCGGATATGCTAACTTACATCAAGGATACATTTTCATAGTAATTATTGTAATTAATTGTCATAAATGCTTTTTTATGGACAAGATTAACCCTTTAACAACGGTGGACTCATATGCGGGTCGGGAAGGAATCGGGCCTAGGCGACAGTGGACTAATAAATGAGTCGGGAGTTTTTCGGTTAGTGGTCAATTCTACTTTCAAACTATCTTATGGTCTTTCCAAGAGGGAATAGGTAATTTATCAGTGACTGGACATTATGGGCATTTTTGAACAATGCCTAAAATGTGAAGAAAAGTATTCCATTCTCAAGGATACTCCACCCTTCCTGCTCATCGCAACTAAAGGTTAAACAACATCCTAAAATAAAACATGTTTGCTGCCAGCAAATAGACCTCAATCAATCTTCTCTGATCTTGCATAGGCACTTCATTTTTGGAAATTTTCCTTCTCCTTGTTTCAATAAATTTTGTTTTTTAATCTTTGAATGTACTCTCAATCCTAGAGTGCCTTGATGTTCTTCTAGTATCAATTATATATCAATTTGTACAACTTTCCTTTGTTCTTCAACTTCATATCATCATTCAACATTCATAAGTTAAAAAAAGTTTATATTCAACAATAGCTATTAAAATAAAAATATTATTGTTGTTTATTGGATAGTGACCCAAGTACTTAAGCATTGTTCATTAAAGATTAATGGTGAGTACAATCTTTAAGACTGTCTGCTAATTTGATGCTTTCAGGATCAACAGTTATTTTTGGAGGGTCAATTTTTATTAAATATGACTGCTTATAAGTATTGTCTAATATCTTTGATGAAAATTTTCCATAATATTTCATTATTTATCATTGAAGCTATTTGTAAGTGATTGTCCATTCACGATGGCTTCTAATTAATCACTTTCTAATTAATCATTCTTTCAGTAGCATAAAGCATAAAAGAATTACCACAAAATGATATGACAAGAAGTAAAAAAAATAAATAAATAAATAAAGTAACAACCTACAAAAACAGAATGAATCAATATTTATAATTTCAGAAAATGAATTTACTTGAGGACATTGTAAGATTGTCTATCCTCCTCTTTAAGAGTATTTTCCTGAATAGTATGCCAGTCTATTGCTGGTGGTACTTCACTTTCCGCTGAATAAGCATCAGTAACAGCTTTAAAACCACTTTCACCAATCATATCAGTAGCAGAATTCTGTTTACCGTGTTCTAAAACATCATAATAAAAATAACATATTTTATGCCATTCCAATTACATATTTAATAAAAACTTTCATAAAGATTGATTACCAAAACTTTTATCAGATAGTGGTTCTTCTAGTTTTGGTGGTGGTTTGCTAACAAGAACTGTTTTCTCTTCAAGGTTGAGATCTAAATCAAAAATTGAATTTGAAGTTTTTAAACTGGCTTCTGATGGTACATATTCTGATTCAGAATCTGAAAAAAAAAACACATCTAATATCAAATATTTTAAAACTTAATTTTAAATAAGAATGCAAAAACTTTAGTATTAAAACATTGAATTGCGATAAATTCCTATAATTGATATTACATTATTTAAGTTGCATTTCATCTTCCTTAAATCTGGAATAATACATAATTATGATTTACAAATAAACAATAAAAAAATCGTACCAGCACTTGAATCATTTCTGCCCTCTTCTTGCAAAACTTCTTTAGGGAGAATCCTATACAGTGAATTACCATCTGAGAACTGGGTTGTATCTAAGCTAACGCACTCTATATAACCAGATTGTAACATTGCCTGTCCCAATACCACTCCCTGTATCCTGACATAAATAATAAATGAAATAAATAATCAAAAGCAAAAAATACAAGTCATCAAATTGTGTTTAAAGCCTCAGTACAATAGCCACTACAAAACAAAAAATAATAAATAAATAAAAACAGAAGATATCACTTTCAGAATACTATTGTGAATCAATAATTTAAAATATACCCATTTCATGTATAACTGCTAAATAGTAATGAGATCCATACACTTATGTATGCTCTCATGCATGAAACACTGGTCATTAAACATTATTTTAGCATATTCATTTAAAATAAAGTGAAACTCCTCCGAAATAGCCAACCACCATAACTGTTTCAAAGTCTATTAAAGGAAAGATATCTAATAAACCAGCTTAACTACAGGGATATACCCTATGTAATAAACTTTATTGAAAAATTATTAAAATAAAACATTACAATTGTATATTTTATAACAGAGAGTGTACCCTAAAAAATTCATGGATATAACAAGTATTAAATTTTGAATATAAAAAATTATATATTTTGTCATTTTAGTACAAAGGTAATGTAATTTTCTGGACAAAGATATATATTTTTTTTTAATAATTTGACATTCATGTTGAATGGTAAGCAAAAACTGAAAAAATATTCGAGGTAATTAAATTCCAATCCATCATTAAATAATGAAAATTTCCTTTGCAATACAGTTTGGTTTCAAACTTTTGTTTGCTCAAATTCAAAATTTTAATTATTAGAGAAATGATGTTATTAAAATAAGTGAGCAATATTTACATCAAATTGGCAATATTTACGTCAAATAATATCAAATTGGCAAATATTTACTGAATACTATTGCAATTAAAAAAAAAACAACCTGCTTGCTGCTTTATTATGTTGAACAAGCCAGTCAACAAGCTGACTGGCTAAGAAGCAGTTACTGTAGGTTCTCAATCGGTAACGATGTGTTGAAATATTGAGACCACCAGAAATAACAGCTTCATCTAAAAGACATCTCATAGAGCTACGACCAGGATCGGACCTAGAATTCAAATATCATTAATAACTACTAGCATGATTGATAACACACAAAGATAGTTCAAAATTTCTATTGAAAAAAAAGATATAAATACGAACTGTATGTTTTATCATAAAACTGTAGGTCTAAGGAAACAGATACCTTTCAGATGAACTAATTTTCAAAAGACAAAATAAAACATTTTCCTTTATAATCTTATCACAAGATAAACCACTATATTTGGGCCCTAGTAAATCAATAGTTAGTCACCATTCTTTAAATAGAACAGAAAAGTGATCTCTTGAAAAAGACAAAATGGCTATACAAAGTTGTATTAATTAGTAACTAATATTAATTAAGAAACACTAACTAGAGCTATAATAAAACAAATTTATCCTTCATCATCAATATAAAAAAATTCAACATTAATGATTGATAGCTGTTTTTAACCTCCAGTTTTGACAAATATAAATAAAAATTTTACGAAATGATCTAGCACTAGCAATTATAGATTAAGAGTTCATAAAAAGTGCTTAACTTCTTATACTCTGAGGCAGGGGTTGAAACTTTTTAGGAAAACAATTCTTAAAATAAAAGTTCCAAGAAACTTTTTTTTTGTATTAAAGTTCTAGATTTATGGTAATAGTTTAACTTTTATTTATTTAAGTTCTTAAAAAAAGTTATTAAATAAAAAATAAACAGTAATTGGGCTTAGATTAGAGTTATGATTTGTCTTAAATTAATTACACATCATTTTTAAGTGTCATTTGTTTGAGTAGCTTAGAACAAAATCATTTTTTAGTGACAGAACTTTTAAATGAAAGTTTTGTAAAACCTTTACTGGAAAAGTCGCAAGAGAAAAAGTTCTAGTTCCAAAAAGAACTGAAAACTATCAACAATAAAAGTTTCAGTGATACCAAAACTTTAAAAAAATAAAAGCTTTTATTCAAGCATTGATCTGTGATGTTATTTCTTACAAACAAATGATTAACAATACACTTAAAAGTCTTTTTAAATTGATAGTCATAAATAAGGATATCATAAACAAACAGGCAGTCATTTATAGTCATAAATATAGGGATGGTGAATCATGGCAATTCAAAGTTATGAGATCACAGAACAAAGTAGATATTTTTAAGTTTCCATTAGTACACAACCATTAGTACTATATTACTGAGAGGGTGAATGGGTAATGAATAAATATCATAGTTTTGCCAACTATGTTTTTTTTTTCTTTGGATGAGTACAAAATAAATATATACATAAGGCCCGCAAGAACCTTCAATCCGGCCTGCAAATGTTTCTGATATAAAAGGTTCAAAAGCCTGTGATAAGACTTTAAAATCTGAAAAACTATTTAAAAATATAAAATTTAGCAAATTACTCACACACGAGGTTACAACATTTATTGCCTGGATTTTTCCTCTTGAAAAGTCCATTTCACAGTTGAAGTGACAATTATAAAACCAGATATTATTTTTCAACACTAGCCATGGTACGCATGACTACAGTGGAGATCACAAATGCGGTTCATGGAACTTAGTCTAGATCTCAATGCGGCCAAAGTGGGAGATCCTTGGTTTAAAATAATTGGATACTACCCAACATCCTCATCCTCAATATCAATTGTAAATTGAGCATGTTTTTGTTTTTAGTAGTAACAAAATAAAATAAGATTAACACATACTCAAAATAAAACAAGATTAACACATAAACAAAATATATACAATAATCATGAGAAAAAGATGATACAAAAAGTCTACCAAGTAAAGTCAGTATAGCTTCCTCACCGTTTTCATTGGCTAAATATAAAAATATTACAAGGTATACAATTTTTCGTATGAGAATAAAAATTGTGGGAGAAACCGATTCGAAAACACAGTTACCCATCAACATTCGCGGGTTTGATATCCACAAATTTCATTTATCAACTAATATTATACTGCGAAAGAGTGCCATGTTTGATTATCCTTAATTTTTAAAAAATACATACTAAACATGCATTTCACTTCTGTTAGTACAAAAGGTAGCATGTAAAAATTTATTGTTTTGCAAGAGTGAATAAAAACTCATCATTTCTTTATGCTTTATTAGTATAATTTCATATTTTATTGTCATCTGTTATTTTCTATAGTAGCAGACTACTTATATCAGTTGCAGACTACAAAATGTCACCTTTGGCACAAATAGAATAAAAGCTGAAAATTTTCATATACGACCTTTTACACTAATAGTAGTGATATATAAATAACAGGTATGTTTTCACTTGTAAAATGGATGGAACTAGAAAATCCATAGGAAAAACTCAACTTGTATACTATAATACTTTCCTTCAATCAGAACAAAACGCTTTAAGCTAGAAAATATAAAAATATGGATGAAGTTTACATAACTTTGATATTTAAGGAGGAAATCGAGACCAAGACGAACTGGTTGAACTGCAATGGAAATAAACACAATCACAAATAAGATGTTTTTTTTACACACTCTGAGTATAAATTACTTTAAATCTATTGAAAATTTCATAAAATCTAACTAACGGCAGTAAGTGTCATGCCAGTAAGGTTTGGAATCAACCGAAAAATACATTATCCATTAATTTTTTTAATTGAACCTAAAATTTTATAACTCCATATCAATATTGTAATAACCTAACTCCCACTCCATATGATCAGTGCCTTCAACATTTCGCAGCCATTATATTGTTAACAATTATTTATATTAATTTTAATTATTAAATGGAATTCAATGAAATTGATACTAAGTAATTTCTATACTATTCTCCAAATCTCCTCCAAGTTTGGGTCAAATCGAATGCGCCGTTTTCAAACTATAGGCATATCAAATAACACATTTCCTGATCTGAAAGTGGAAACTATTTTTTTGGAGTAGTAGATAGAATATGATTAAATTGATGCCTATTTCATTTTACGTTTACCAATCTCTAAATTCCCTCAAAATTTAAGCCAAATTGAACTTGTGGTTTTAGAGATATAGACGTATCAAGGAAAACATGTTTGCGCATATATAAGAGAAAGCAACGGACAGAATTCAATAAAATTGACCCTACATTATTTTTTCACAAATGTCTACCTTTTATCCAATTTAGAGCCAAATCGAACGAGACATTTCGGAAATATTGGCATATCTACAAAAATGTGTTTGTGCATCTGTAAGTGGAAGTGCTGGTTAGAATTTAATAAAATTGATATGGAACCATGTAGACATCAACCCGCACAATTCCTGAAAATTTCATGAAAATTGGATGAACGATAATTTTGATCCTTGATATCTGAAACGTAAAACGCGAGTGGAAATTTTCTATTCTGAGCACAAAAATTTTTTTTAACCTATCCACGAATACAATGCTTCCCTACCTTCGGCAGAGAGGAAGCAAAATATTATTAAGGCATAGATTAAGAAAGGCATAGTAAGAATTAAATAAATGATTAATTATAATATATTTTCCTCATTTTATACCATAAGTTTGTTCATCAGTGTTGTGCAAATATAAATTGATATGGAATACCAATTCACAACTAACGACTAAATTAGTCAGTTATCCTTGTATCTGGAAGCTAACAATGTCGTCTTTACATGAATTAAAAATTAATTATCCTCAATTTAATTAGCTTTAGTTAAAAGGAAAACTAAAACTTTAATTTTTTTAAAATTCAGTTTCGCACAATTAATAAAAAATAATTATGTAGTTGCAATTCTCTTTTCAAGAGAAGGACTGAATACTTTTGGTACTCAGTCCTTACTGTATACTTTCTGAAAGTACTCATGCAACATAATTAAGAAGTACCAAAAGTTCTGATGGTTCTGACATCTGATTACAAAAAATACATAACTAAATTATTTAATTTTAATTTATATTGTTCAACAACTCTGTATCTTTCATTATATCCACTGTTTAAAAATTATCAGAATGAAAGTATGGAGAAAATTAATGTGACCAGTATGATCTCAAAAACACAATGACTTTTTTTTTTAAGGATATGAGTATAATTAACAAAAAAACAAAGAGGGCTTTAACCTGGAATTAGCAAATTTTTCTTCCTGATAACCAAGAGATGGTTTTCTTCTAGCCACGCTGTCTTCTCTGTCAGGGGTAAGACTGGGATTGCTGCCATGATGGGCTGTAGTCATCAGCAAAGGATCTCCAAACTTGACTTGAAGATCTTCTTGAAGGGCTCTGAGGTCTGCAGATAGATGAGCTGCCATATCCGGAGATTGTAAATATGAAAGGACAACTTTACCACAGTATGTGCATACACGAAGATCACCTTGAACAAAAATTAATAAATATAAAAATGAAATTTAATTATGTAATAACTTAATTTATTAATTAGGACACAAAATATCAAAGCCAATGTTCAAGGTCCCAAGTTCCAATCCCGGTTAATGGCAGAAAAATTATTTATTCTGTTTTATCTGCCATTGGCCGATCCCGTGATCAGGATCAGGAGATCCTCCCGGGGCATACTCAACCTCTATAAAGTGGATATCCTTTATTAAATAATTAATTAAGGGAGAAAACCTGATAGTTCAGCGTGATCTTTGTCAAATCACCTCCTTGCACAACTCTTGATCAAGAAACAGTACTTACTTCCCCTAAATAGTACTGAACCCAAAACCCTTCACAACCTACAGATACAGTAGCTTTTATGCTTACTTTTTTGTTATCGCTGCCAAATAAAAAATATTGGAAAAATCTATGATGAACCTGTATCTTTCCTTTGCCTTGAATTGCCAAACCAGAACAACATTATAAAAGGTTAAAATGATTTTGAGTGGAGCACGACACCCACCAACTGCAGGAAAAGTTCCCAGTGTCAATATTGTTCAACACAAAAATGTAGAGACGTGTTTGAACTAATTGATTATTTTAAACAGTTTTTTACTGAGGTTCATTAAATTACTTATGTCTATTTTGCTTTTAATATTGTGTAAAATAAACAATTCATTCATTAACATTACACAATATTTTGCTTCCATATAAAAAGTTCTTTTCTGAATGCATTTTGGCAAACTGACTTCTATACTTTTATTTATTATGTTGTTAAGGTTATTTTTGTTATTGTTTCGATTGGTTTACCTAAATACATCATAAAATGATTAATAAACAGTTCTATAAGAGTTATAGATCAGAAGAGCGAAAAAAAGAACCAATGAATCCCTAAGCAGGAACTACTTTGTCAATTAGAGGAAGCGATACCTTCACCGGGTTGAGGCCCTAATGTATTCCACAGCACCATATCAACCTATTTGTTATGTTTAAGTTAAAATTAGTTCCAAGAGTAGACCAAAAATCAAATGTCTTCTATTTCAAATGCAAAAATCAAGCCTTTTCTACTGTCTGTAACAAAACTAAAATATGTTGAATTGAAAGGCATCATGAACTTTAATCTACAAAAATAATAAAAAATTTTAAATAGAGAATTAACATTTTATAAAAGATGATCTTGGGAAAGAGACTATAATACGTACTAGTAGAAAAAGGTCTTTTCAGTAACCATGTAAAATCAGATTATGCTTGAAGAGGCGAAAATTTGAAATAAAGTTATTATTTATCGAGACTGAAGAGGCCTTTTTCTACTGATTAAACATTTTGAAACTTCATCCTAGACCGCATAAAGTAAAGTTCATCATAATTAATATATTAAGTTCGAAAAAGTATTTAAAATTAAATTAGTTAATAAATAAACGAATGCTGAAAATACGAGTAATTAAGAAATCAAAATATTGAACAGCTCTCTTGAAAAATTAAATGTAAAGGACCTATTATCTAAGTAATAGCAATTTATAATAACAAATATTATGCATTATAATATTCATATCTCATATATTATTTATAATTCATTAATCTTACCATTACAATTCATTATTTTTCCAGGAATTTCTTGATTGCAACATCGAGAACAGAATATTTGGCCACATACCTAAAAATCAAAATAATTTAATATTAGAATATTAAATTTAAGATTCTAATTATGAAACAAATAAAAACATTCACAACCCTACAGTGATGTCTTCTCCTAAATGTGGTAAATTTTTCTCCACAGTCATAGCATTCTTTACTAACAGAATCTGGCATCCAATACTGCTTGAGGTCAGTATCTTTATAGGACTGTTTACCCTAAAATAGTTTCTTAAAGTTACAATATTGAACACAAGAGGAAAAAAAAAAAAATCAGAATTACACCTACAGAATTCTTAACTGCTAATAAATTACTTATCCTCCGTAGAACATTAGGAAGACTTCTTCCTTCTGTTAGATAAAAGGGAATTTTATTTTCAAAATTATTGTCATCAAGTTCTTCTTCTTCTTCCGAACCTTCCTTAGATTTCTACAATGAAAATAGAACGAATCAAAAATACAAATTAAAAAAATATATATTAAACATAAATATAGAAAGACAGGAGAGATAAAATCAATATTCTTCCAGATACTTCTTTAGAAGTGTTGCTCCATTTTGATGAAAGGATGCAAAATCCAACAATAATGATAACTGATAACATAATAAATGGAATATCGGAAATGGCCAAATATAGACCCTGTAGTAAGAACCTGACCTCAACCGAAAAGGAGTTGAGAGTTCCTTCATCCATTTTAAGCATGCAGAAGACAACATTGATGTAAGGTCCCGATTTTAATTAAAATGGATCAGTTGGGAGTTTGCAAAAGTCGTAAATCACAATCTAAATAAAGAAAGGTTATACCAGTGAATCTATTGCCAATATTCAACTATTCTCCAAATTTCATTCAGAACTTAATCATGAGATCTTGTACCTGCCCATCAAAGCAGAGTAGCATTTAAAAGTAAAACCTACTTCCACTTTCAACCAAAATAAAAATATAATGCACATCAATTGATTATCTAGAAAATGGTCTAGCTGCGTTCTTACTCAATGAAATCAAAAGTAAATTACATTGAGAAAACTTGCAAATCAAGTAGATAAAATTCAGTTTTACAGAAAACCTTTAAGTTACAAGTTTACAGGTATGATGTTTGGTTGATAGGTGGACCAAAATTAAATAGATTCATTAATGCTGGAGTCTGAAATAGTCAAGTGTTGACAGCTCTGTTCGAAGGTAAGCTCTCAACACCCACAAAAGGTATGATCACAACAGGTCCTTTTCAGGTAAATTCAGGACCTTACCAAGCAGAAGTCTTGTTAGTGGGACGAGGCCATCATCAAATACCTTCCATAATTTATTTCTCAGGAATATATGGAGATTGGTTGCATCTGTACACTTTCAGACACACTAAACTTCATTCTGGATTAAAAGTATAAAAATTAAGCCATCTGTCCAATTATGAACTAATAGCAATTTCAAACAATAATAGTTATGGCCACTTCCCTAAAATTTATTAATGAAAATAATTAATATTTACAATGTACTGATTGTCCACTTCTTTTTTATCCGTTGGGAGTTCATTACTAGCCTCGGTGTCAGCTCCTACTGCTTTATTTTCTTCAGGAGCTGAAACAGTTGATAAGAACTTCAAATCACCTACATAACCTTCAATAGATACCAAATTATATAAAAAAAACTTACGAGTTCTCCTAAAACTAAAGCTCCAGCGCGAAAACAAGGAACCTAAGCTAGAAGTTTCTTCTTCCTCAGGAGATAGAGGAGCAAACTGAGTTAGTTTAGTTTGACACCCCAAGTTCTGATTCATATCTTATAACCCTTTCAGTATTATCAGTTACAAAAAAAACATTGGTTGGAATTACAATCAAATAAATTCTACTTTCAATCAAGAATTCAATAGCAATTTTATTGTTAACATATTTTTTTTCCCCCTTTCAAAGCTTGAACTGCTACAGAATGCTTTAGTAGTGTGTTAAAATTAGACCTATAGGGACAATTTAAAATGAAGTAAAAAAAAAATTAATAATCTTTATAAGACCATCTTTGACAACATACTACTTCCCACATAAACCACCATTCAAAAGTAAACATTGAGAGGCTGCGCATGAGATTGAGAAACCTACTCACAGGAGCGCTGATGAGGAGCACTTCAATTATTACTGCATTTAAAAGTATCTCCTCACTTCAATGATAAATGTAAAAAGTTTAAAAGGAGCCCCTTATAGGGGAAAGGTTATAAGGGACCCGAGATGCCAGGATCCGTCGATTCCCTGGATCCGCTAAAACATTTTAGCGTTTTATAGAGTTTTATAATTAAATTTTTATATCAATAAGTGAAATTTCATGAATAAATGTTAGATCCTTCAGTCTACATATTATTTATTTTAATGGACGATTTGGACCTAAATTCTTATCTCCCAACTTCAATTCTATCTCCCAAACCGTTCTAGTTAATAGTTTGTCACAATAATTACTTTTTAAATTTAAATAACAAAGAGACGCTATTCAAATATTAGTTTCCCGCCTATCCAATACGGCCGCCCCATCTGTATGACTGCACTATATTATTAAGCTACTGTAGGTTTAAGGAATAAGGAGAGGTCTTAAAAGAATGACCAACAGTGTCGGGAGGAAGAGCCTTCCTCACGTATGAAGAAAATATTAGAGATTCTAATTTGGAAAAATAAAGTCAATGAGGATTGTGCACATTTGCTCAAACTTGCCAAACTTGGAACTCATGTGAAAAATGAAGGAAAGGTCTACTAAAACATATCGATCTATCTTATTGGATAGAAAAATAAGTGGACCGACTTTGGAAGACCCGCTGTAGAACTCCTCACTCGATTTGCTCATTCCGCTAACCTAAATATGAAGAAATACGAAATTAAAAAAAAACTCTTGGTATTCAAATAGGAAAGATTTGCGACCAAATTCTAGTCTTCACTATGCTTGTTGGTGAAGTTATAGGGGCAGATCCGGAACTTTTAATTATTTTTCCAGGGGGGACAATCTTAAATTTTGCCACACCCTCTTCTCCATAAAATTCTTGTTTGATAACAGTATTTTAGGTAATATCTTTTAAAATATCAAAATTCATTATATCGAATAAATCAAAATCAAAAAGCAGAACATTTTTTTAAATTTAATTTAAAATAAAATTTTGTACGAAATTTAATACCTCATAAATTCTAATGGCGGGGACGAGTCATTGTGTCCAGCCACTATGGGGATGTCACGTTATGATAAAATGGTTCATGAAACAATCAGTGTCATTCTGTTTTAAAACATGAATGAGGAGGGGCGTCTCAACCGATTCCCTCGGGTTTAAGGACAGTGACAAATCCATCTATGGAGCCATGATTGATGGCTACTCAGAGGAAGTTGGCGCATGGAGTACCTATATTACTTTTACTGGAACTAATCGTCCATGGACCAAAACTCGGTGGAATATTGACATCCCTACCTATCTATTGACGTGGAAAACCGCATCGTGATTCCCGACTAAATTAGATTGGGTGAGGTCATTACCGTTATAAGTGGTCTATGTGAGTTGTCTCAAGTTAAGTACCTGACGAGTCTTACATGCCGGAGGACGAGGAAGGGGAGAAGTAGATTTAATTTACTGTTTCCTTTTTGAAGTGAAAACTTCTTTAGGCGCGTTTTGCTCGGGTAAAGTCAACTAATTCAAGTGTTTTTTCATATGCATTAAAATAAATTAGACTAAAAATAGGACCTGTACATTGTTAGCGTGGGCAATTCTATTCTCTTTGTAATGAGCTATTATTCAAAATTGTATCTTAACGGGATGTCGTGTTAGAGAGACGAAAATAAAAAGATAGTGTTGAAAACCAAATGATAACGAGTTTTATTAATGGGATTAATTATGGGAATTTAATTATGGGATTAAAATAATCCCAGAAACTAAAAATCGGACCTGCATACTGTAAGTAAGGAGACTGTTCAGCATTTCATCCTCTTTATAATGAGCTATTGCGTCCCAGGAGGCTCACCAGATCCCAGGGTCGATCCACGTCTAATGAAAAATCACTATTCATAAGCCCGACTCGAACCTAGAACCTTGAGTTCTGGAAGTCACCCACTGAGCTACCCCGCTCCCTTCAATTATATATCACAGCGAAAATGGTTGAAAGATTAGTAGTAAGCAAGATAAGTATGTATGTAAAAGTACAATTGTTGTACTAGTTTTCTAACTATTGTTGCTTTAGTACATTTCAATATAAAATTCTTTTGTAAATGTAAAGTTTTTTTAGTTTTAAATACCTTTTATAGAGGAAAAAATTAGTCATAGAACTTTTAAATAGTTTGAAAAACGATTTATAGATCGCGTAGTAGTAATTTATACAATCCCGTACAAGCTGATTGCCCAATTCCTGCTGAAGATGGCAATTGGGTTACCTGTTATCAGGAGGCTTTGTTATCTGTTACGGAAGGTTATGTTGTAGCTGATTTCTTTAAATAAAGTAGTGTAATAAGGACAAAGCTCTTGGGGATAGGAATTGAGCCATAAATATGTGACTGTGACAATATCTTATAATTATGTCGCTCTTTAAGAGCAATTTATTGTTTTAATATTGAAGTTATAGTGATGAATAACCATATTCCCTTGACTAATACTTTCAGAATGTTCAAGTTTCATTGTTTAAACAAGAAAAAATCTAAACAGAAAGAAAGTACTCCTGAAAATGATAGAGAAAAACAATTAAGAACACCTTCTCTCAACCAACTAAGTATTTTCAAATACCAACAGGGTAAGAATGTATTTTTTCAATGTTTCAAAAAAAATAAGACCCCTACTGACACATTTATGCATACAAATTTAAATAGTGACCATGATGATCTATGTAATTGTGAAGATAATAATAATATAAATGGTACTGTTTGCAAAGATCTTGATATTAACCATGAAGATCTTAAAGATGAAAATGTGAATTTAGAACCATTAACTGAAAAATTATTTAGATTATCAAAGTATGGCTGGTACTGGGGTCCTCTTTCGAGATCAGAAACAGAAGATAAACTTCAAGAAGAACCTGATGGTGCATTCTTAGTTAGAGATTCCTCTGCACAGAAGTATGTCCTTACATTGAGCTTCAGAAGTCATAGTCAGACTTTTCATACTCACATAGATCATGTTGGAGGAAAATTTAGTCTTCAAAGTGGGCCAGATTTTTATACTGTAGAAGATCTGATCAAATATTCAATGAATCGTTCTCATATTTCAGAATTTGCTTATGTGATGTATAATCCCGCAGATAGTAATCTGATTATGTATGTTAAATTAACTAGACCTGTATCAAGGTTCACCAAAGTAAGACCTCTTCAATATCTGTGTCGATTCGTTATCCGGCAATATGTTAGAGCAGATATAATACCAAAACTGCCTCTTCCACAACCAATTATGCAGTATATTGAAGAAGGGCAGTTTTAATATATATATTATTTAATTGTAAATTTTATTGTCACTAAAAACAAAAAATAGATTATATTATTATTGTGCCACTTATGTGTATATTTATGAAGGGCTGTGTGTAAGTGTCCTGTGGTATTGTAATATAGATTGCTAATTGTAACACTTTTTTTATTTGAGGAATTTTTCATTTTATTTTTCTCATTGAAAAATAATAATTTTATTGTCATAAGTGATTTTATAGTTCTAAGATATTAAAAAATAATGTTATGCTCAATTGATATACATATTTTTAAAACCAACTACTTGAAAAGGAAAAGTGCAATACAATCCATATCGCCTCATTTGGCCTAAGTAATAAAATTATTATCAAACAAAATTGCTCAATACTTTCTCAAATGAAGTGTAACTATTTCTTTTTTATGGGAAGACACATTCTTCAGTTCAAATCTCATATTTTTTAGTCACATAATGTGTATAGATACTATTATATTTTTAGTATGTTAATAATTCAGTGGCCTTGTCACCATCACTTTATAAAGAGAGCTAAAAGCTAATTTATTTTTATTTTTGAATAAAATGTCTTTATTGTTACTATTTCATTATTCTAATATTGACCAAATTCCTTTTGGTATTAATAAAGTTCATATTGTTATCATTTTTTGGTATATCACTATAGTGAACAAACAATTAGGAAGGCATTAAAATTATCTTAAAGCTGACAGTTGATTTTGTTATATCGTACTTGAACGAATTCAGATGGCTCCTCATCAATGTTTACCTTCAGAAAGTTATAATGTAACAAACAGACTTTTTTTTGTTTTTTTTATAATATTTTTAAAAGTGTGGTTGGATTTTGTAAAATTGATCATATTTTTGATGGTGGAGATATCATTAACCGTAAATGTAAGTTCAAGAAGTTGGTTGACAAGAACAGATTAACGAGGGTTGTTAGAAAAGAAAACAGATAATATAACTTATTTTTATCGTGTGTCAATGGTTATGAGTAAACTTACTCCTGTGTACTGACATTTTGGCCTAACATGTAGGCATTTATCAGAGCTAAGCAAAACAAGATAACAACCACTAAAGTATATAGCTATAAAAATGGATTAAATTTGAATCATATATGATAAAATTGAAATAATAAGAAATGAATGTTTGTTTATATATTTTAACTAGTGCAGGAATGACAGGTTATCCTGTAGGTAATCAACATATTCTAGCAAGAATGAGAAGGTAAAAAATTATCCCATGGGTTAACCATAAAATTATTTTAAACTGTTGCCATTTCTGAGAGGAAATTGTTAAGGTGATTTGATTCCCTAATACTAAGCCGCTATGGTCTCCAGAAATGAATAAATGAATCGGATATAAAATTAAGTATAAATATTAAAATAAAGGAGATGGTCCGGGGTTGCGGTCATAAATAGGCTAAATAGTTTTACCACTATTTAGCCTATTTATGACCGCAACTCTGGACCATCTCCTTCCTTTATAATGCAACGGTCAACTATTAAATATTCTAAATATTAAAATAAAATGTTGAAGTTAATAAGCTAAAAGAATATGATGTAAAACAGTTAACAAGATGTGATTATAATCATAAGCTAATATATATGTTAACAAAATAAAGATAGAAACACAACTTAAAAAGAAAGAGGGGTAGGATGAGAAGGAAAATAGAAATTATGAGAGATCTAGCAACTCATCTATAATTCTGTATATATGATGTTGACTTATGATTGTCATTAAATCTTCTTATTTGCTGTTTTACTATGTATTATTTTGGCTTATATAACTTTTACATTTTTATTTCATTATTTTAAGTATTATATTTTATTTTATCCTTTTATTCATTTTTCATTACTTAAATTTTCATTGTTCATTATTCATAAATAGAAATCAATGTTGTCTTATTTTGCTTATCTTTGATGAAGCTAGCCTTTATTAAGGTTTGACTCTTATCTGTATGTTTGCACTCCCAAACCAACTTTTACTTTGTATTGAATAACTATTATATGGTAGAAAATATGTCTGTTCCTACACAAGTTTTCCGTTATCAGTAGACTTTCAGCCATAAGCATAATGCAGTTCTTCCATTCAAAAACCTGTACCCTCCATTCAAAAAAACTATACTGCGTATGCAGCAAACTGCAGTTGACAGTTTGCTGTTACTCTAAACTAATATTGAAGCAGACCTAATATGTTTATGATACAGTGTATAGATAAAATTATGTGTTCATAAATAATAGAAGAAATAGTATGGTATAACCCAAGGGTGTAGCCACCCTAAGAAAAAATTTCAAAAATGCTCCAAAAGGTAAAGCGGCAATTTTTGAAATTTAATTTCTTCCAAGGAAAGAGTATCCTTTTTTTTCATAAGTTTTTATCATAATGTAACTTTCAATCAGTTTATTAGAAATTTATGGTTTATATATACTTGTTACTATTTTATTATTATTATTTTTTCTATGTTGGGAGGCAGCTGCTCCACACTATTCCCCTCCCTCCAGGCTACGCTCGTAGTATAACCAGTTTTCTAAACCAAAAATTGTAAACCAAAACATAATGAATAAGAAGCATGCCATATTCTAATCATGTAGTAACTTGATTAATTACCCTTTGTATCAATGAATTGTGATAAAAATAAAACTTTAATTTAATCTTGTAATTAGATGATTTATTATTTATATTGAAAAACCCTATCATTCATATGTTTAATTTTCCAAATATCAATTATTTTGAAATAGTCAAATCTCGATAGTCGAAATTTAAGGGACTACAAGAAAAATTTTAACTATCGAGACTTTGAGCTATCAAGAAGAAAGAAAAAACAATTAATTAATAAAAGTTTTTATTCTATTTTTGAAAACCTTAAAAGAAGTGGTCTAGTTTCGAATTATAGAATGTTCTCTCCCCCTCTTGTTACGAAAACGGTTTCAAGTTATAGAGCTATCAAAATACAGCATTCTTTCGATTTACTGAAGTTTACAGCTGAAGAGTTCAAATTATCGAAGGTCGACTGTATTCTAAATATAGATGAACTACAAATCCCATATATATAAAGAACTAGTGACAGGCAGCTGTTCCATGGCCCGTTATGCTTCCAGCTGGATACCTGTAGAACTAAGAAACTGCCAACTTATGGTGTCATTAATAATGATATTTGAAATTATTGCGGATTTAAGTAGATAGAGGTACAATATACTGAAGAAATTAATAAAAAAATGGATTAAATTCGCAAAATTTTTTTTTTTATTTAAGACATAAGCATAATACATTATATTTATGAAATCATGTTGAGACATTGATAACAAGTGCACCATCACATGCATACATATTTACATATATTATAATACTGGTAAAATATTAATTGTTAAAGAAAATTCAGTAGGCGCGAGGTTTTGCAGCATTTATGATTGACAGTTTTGATTTTAACCAAATATATCTCAGGGTGATGGGAGCTGGTTAAACCTTTTAGATCAAATCCATTTTTAATGAATCGCCATACAATATTATTCAAAAAATATACCCTAAGATGTTGGAATAGATATTTCACTTTCTTATATATATCAGGATTTAAGTTTTAATTTTATTTGGGTGTTTAAAGAACTTGATCACAAAGGCATTAAAAAAACATTTCAATTTAATTATTACTCTAACAATTAATTAAACAAGGCATCTTTATGTGTAAACTAACTATGTATTTCTTTAGAAATACATAAAATGATATTTAAAAAACAAACAAGCTTCATAAATTCTATTAACACTTTAAAAGTGAATTAATACTATCTTCATGTATAGCGTTATCTGTTCCAATTAAGTCCTAAGATATTTCTAGCCTAAAACAGAAAATACAAATGAAATTAATTATAATCATATAGCACTATGAAGAGAATTATTTTAATCAAATAATTAACTTTTAAAAAATACATTATTTCATTTTCTTGTTATATTTTTTAGGTTCGGTGCCATTTTTTATGTTTTTATTTGGAAGGTATTGGGCCAAAGGTCGCTTCATTCTGTAAAAAATGTCTTCAGAATCTTGAAAATGTCTCAAAAGGCCGAAACACTGACAAATAAAGAGACAAAATAAAAATGTATGTTATTGGCGACCTTTGGCCTAATACCTTTTAAATAAAAACTTGCTTCATTTCATCTATGACAAGTAAAAATTTTCAACCATTACTGATCGTATCAAAATGGATAATTTTCTTTATTGTACTACTGAGAGCAAAAGCTTAACAGTTATCAACAAGAAAAATATTTATTGTCAATTGGTGATATAATGACTATCCCTTGAGTATTTCTTGATTCCTTACTACTCGACATACATAATAATATTCTGCCTTTATGTAATAAAAACAAAACTATAGCCTTAGAACTGAAATTGTAGAGATAAAATATTCATGAAACTTTTTTTTTTTTTAATGGCTTCTCTTCAAAATCTGCTGCTATCTAAATAGATTAAAATCAAAACATTTCATTGATGATAAATATAAGATATGAATATGTACAGTGGTCACAGTAATTTTTTTTCTTCATTTAATGTTACTTTTATTACTTTCTTACACTAATGTAGAAATGGTTATTTTAAATTGCATTAATAGAAATTTTAACTTATTTTTAATTCTCCTCCAAATGTATGTTTTTAAATAATTTTTGATTAAAAATATATACTGTATTCTACCTTAACAAAAATGTTCCAACATTCATTAATAGCCTTTTAAAAATATTTAAGGTAACATAACAGAGTTTCTTATTCATCATTCAGATAGCTTAACATAATATCGAAAATAACATACTGTGGTAAAGGTAGCAGTTGCGAAATCCTTAGCAAAAATGCCAGCATTTTCAGAAGTTCTGACAATACCTTCTAATTGTATAGCATCATCAACTCTTCTTCTAAGAAATTCCCAGGATTTCTGATGATCCATGGAACTGTCAGACAGCATGTATAACTCTGTTGTTTTGTATATGCCAGCTAAAGCCAACCTCCTGCCATACCAGCTCATCTAAAAATAATATTCTTAATAAATAATGCTATTATGTATCAGTTACGATTAATTAATTAAAATTTGAGGGTTTCATAAGCATAAGCTTCACTCCTGTATCATAACAGTTTCGTTATTTTAATGCTCAAGTACTAGCCACTGCACCAATGTTAATGCAGTTTTTTAAAAACTGTACTATAAAAATTTGCTCTTTCGACGTGTATTTATGAGTTTGATGCAACTTGCCTCCACACAGTTTTGTAATGTAAGTATGCTGGTTGTTACAATCACTTTTCTATTTTCTCCTACGAAAAAAGATGTTCAGTCTTATTTTAATTTTATATATGATGCATGAATTTATTTAATAAGAAAAACTCTTGAAATTTTTTGGATTTGCATAAATATATACTAAGTAATACTGACTTTAATTATTATTATTATTATTTATTAATTTTTTTATAGAAGATAATTTTCCTTTGCATTAGACTGTGACTGTGACTTGCGAAAGGTTGTTTCATTGTGATATTAATATAATTATTTTATGCTGTAACATCTCGTGATGTTGGATCAAACTTATTCTTGACAATAATGATTTACTTACCAACTACCAAATAAAGTCTTCACAAAATATGTTTAACTAAAGGCGGTAATTGCTCACTATGATTTTCATTGAAAATAAAAAAAATATAATAAACCTGTACCATTACAACCAAAGAAGGGTTGTCTTGGGTTCAGTACTTTGTAAGGAAGTACTGTTTCTTGGTCAACAGTTGTGGAAGGAGGTGATTTGACCAAGAACTGCCAGGTTTTTCCTCTTATTTGATTAAAGGGGAGGCTGGGTGTGTCTCAGGAGGGTTTTCCAACCGGTTGGTCGATCCATGGATGACGAAACAGAATAAATAATTTATCTGCCATCAGCCGGATCCTGAACCTGGGACCTTGAGCATTAGAAGTCAGCCTCCTACTCATGAGCTACCCTAATCCCTAATTCATAATAAGCGAAGTGAAAAAAATAAATTGGTTGATCAGCTTGGTTGATAAATGTTAATTCATTCCAATCAAGAAATATCAAAACCATAATGTAATTAAACTACAGATAATAGTATTTTAAGTTTCAAACACAAATAATAATTCAAATTATATAATAAGAAGCTTACGTCAATTGACCTGTCTCCAGCAAAATAACAAATGTCATCAACAATGGTTAGTAAATTAGCAAGAGCTATAGGTATATTTGGAGGTAAAGTCATCAGTGCAAGAGCTTCAGGCCATTTTTCTTTAAAGGGGAGTATCATTCTTAAGCGTGTTTCAACACCTCTTAAAATTATGTTTTTGGAAGGCTTATTCCTGAAAATTGTGAATCATTTTTAACATTTATACATATTTTAACAAAAATGTCATAATATTATTCTTTAAATATTCCTAGGCATCTTCTTTTAAAATAATAAAACTAAGATGGTGTTTATGGCCTTAGTGTCATGGAGCAATAATTATTGACAGAAAAAAAATTAACAAAATCATAAAAGAATTAATAATATAAATTACTCAAAAACTATATACATATAAATTAGAACAATAGGTTAGAAAACGTCAACTATTACTGATGAATCTGAATAATAATTAGTTAAAAAGGCATGAGTTGAAAGTAGTAATGATATTTAATAGGGTTAGATAAGGAAGGATGGATTTCTTGCTCGAAATTTGGAGGGCTCAAGATTGGAATAGGAATACACTGGAAGTGCTGATGTATAGCAAGTGGGTGTTTGTGACTCGATATGACAGCATTCAATTGACACAATGACTTTTCAATTTTCTTTACCAAATTATTATATATTATAATAGGATTGATGGTTGACTGTAGTGAATAATTGAAGAGAAAAATGATTGGGGTGATCAGTAAAAACATAATTATATTTATTTTTATTTTTGCTAACATTTCAGCCCAAAGTCCAATCCTTCATCAGGATTAAGAAAAAACCAGATAACAATAGATATGAGAAACTATAAACATTGAATAATAAAAAAAATTAATATGTAGTTGAAAAGTATAGGCTAAAAAATATACGTAGAATAAACTTAAAGTAAAATAAAGCAGGCAGAGTGAACTTAAAATAAAGTAAAGTCAGTAGAATAATAACAGTAACAGAGAACAAATAAATAATAACGACAGCAAAGTAGGGACTAATGAAATAAACATAATCAAAATAAAGTAACATAAGAAATGAAAAATGAATAAACAACGAAAAGTAGTGGAATGTATGAGATAAAAACGTAAGTGTAGATAAAAAAACATAGTTGCTAAAATATGATGTAATAGTATAATAAAAGGAAGTGAGATAATCATATAATAAAATGTAAAACAAAGAAAAGGAATATGAAGGTATATAAGGAAATAATAGAAAATTGAGATAGTGCAAAATCTATCAAAACAAACTGACTACGTTAAAAGAGAATAAAAAGCTAAAATAATGTGAATAAGATAAATGAGCAAATGTATCAATATACACAAAATCTTATTATTATTAACTGAAAAATGTTGAAATTGAAATTAGTCATTCTGTCAACTGAAAGGTACATATAATTATTATAATATATAATAATTTGATAAAGAAAATTGATACCAGAAAGTTCTGTAGATAGTGGAAAGAATAAATCAACTTAAATAACAATGAATAAGAAAAGTTATAAAAACATGAATATGAATCATCCTTCATAACTATTAAACAACTGATTAACTTTATGAAAACTTACGGTTTGATTTCACATTCATATTCCTTAGCAAGCTGTGAAAGGGAACTGACTAGAGCTGCATTTGATTTATGATAAAAATATTCGACAATCTCAACTCCTTCTTTAGGAAACAGTCCATGTGCCACACCAGGATAGCCTAGCTGTTCCGCACCTACAACAAACCTGCATTTCAAATACACTTTATGATGAATAAAAAAAAAACAATTAAAAAATAAATATATTTCACTAATTATTTGTATTTCTTTGAAAAATAATCAAAATAATAAATAAACTTATATATCATACATGAAAATGACCCTTAGTATGGTCGAAACGTTAAATTGATGCGTAATAATAAAAGGTTGGTGAAAAATGGCCTAATTTATTGTAACAAATAAAAAAACTTCAAGACACCAAAAGTAGGAAAAATGAACAGAAGAAACTTATATATCATCATTATCTCCCAATTTTATTGTAAATAGTTAAAGCAATAATTAATCCTCAAGTTTTTTCACTAGGAATGCATTAATTTAGGGTCCCGAACTGGAGGTGTACCAGCTGCTTGTCAGAAATTATAAAAAATTAAAAAGCTTATGAGATAAAAATAAAATCTAATAATAAACAAAACATATTAAAAAAATAATTTTTTTTAGAGGGAGAGAGTTCATGATGTAATTCGCAGGAGCGCTAAATGTCTAAGCCCAGTAATGACCATAATATCCATCTCGTCAACGCCATTAAACTTAAAAATAAACCAATGAACTGCTGTATCAACATTTTTGGTCACAATTATAGATGTCAGTAGAGAATGTTTATCCATAAATTTTGCATTGGTTCTCGATAAGAATAAAAATAGAACCTCTATCAACATCAATAAAATGAATAAAATCTACTACCTCTATTGCTAACCTTACATATTTATTATTATCATTATTCAAAAGTAAAATGATATTCTCTCACGTTTATTTTATTTCGCTTAATGTATTACAATTAACTAATAATAAAGAAAATTGTAAATGAAACCTGCACTTAAGGCGGCTTTTGTCCAACCATGAACTTCAACCAAAGGCAATGAAGCCTGTAGTATTTGCTGCTTTATCCCAATACTTCTCTTCTCTTTATCACTTTCTTGTGAAGAAGCTTTAATTGTATCTTGGTCCTCATTCTGATCTTTTGCAGTACAGTATCCTTTTTCATGGCTGATAACTGAAGAGAAAAATTATATATATATATATTTTAAAAAATCTTTAAATATTAACATTAATAATTAAATGGTAAACTTTTAACCACTATCATATCAAGTCTTGAAATAAAATTTCAACTCTTATTTTTATCAGTTTTGGTATTACTGGAATCTTTATCCTCAATAACTTTTGATATTATTTTGGAACTAGAACTTTTTTCTTACAATGTTTTAAAATTTGCATTTTTTTTTTCCCCATTTTAATAAAAATTTTCATTCAAAAGTTCTGTTGATTTTACTTAAAAGTCAATCTAAAAAATGAATTTTATTCTCAGATACTCAAACAAATGGCACATTAGAATTAAGTAATTAATTGAAGGTCAGCTACAACTGTAATCTAGGCCCAATTACTGTTTCCCATACAATGTAACTTTTTTTTAGAGAATTAAACGAAAAAAAGTTAAACTTTTACCATAATCATAAAACGTTATTACAAAACATTCATTAGAACTTTTATTTTATAATTTTTTTCTAAACAGATTTACAGAAACTGTTAAAATGGGACTTTAATCCTGGGTCATATTAAATGGACTATGAAAAGGAATTTAAATTTGTGTTTAACAAATTAGACAACTAGCAAATGTATGTCCATAAATCAGCTAATTATAGGACATACATACCTTTCTAAATTTTTTTATAAAGCTGGTATTTAATTCTAAGAAAGAAAACAAATGTTGATTTTACTTATGCAAATAAAACATAAAGCTTTGATACTTCTTCATACATTGAGAATAATTTTGTAGACATGAGTGACATAATTAAGCCTTATTAAGGATCACAGATTTATTCACAGTTTTCTTATCATAAAATAACTAAAGCACAACCATAATTAGTTGTCAATCCGAGTGGTGTTCATTCATTAAACTTAGTTTTTCCATGAAAAAAAATAATATATATATATACCTATTTTACAATATCTGAGCAGCGTCTTAAGGTTTTTGAAAATTAAGTACTGCGTAGAATACTCGGACCGAAGAAGGATGAGGTAACCGGAGACTTCAGGCGGTTACGCAATGCCAAATTGCGTGAACTGTATCCGGGTATTATAATACGGTGATTTCACCATGGCGAATCAAATGGGCTTGTAAAATTGTAGGGCTTAGTAACGAGAGAATTCCTAAAAGCTTAATATTTGCTGTGCCGAATGGTAAACGTCCGAGGGACAGACCGAAGCGAAGGTGGGAAGATTGCATTAAAACCGATCTGAAGGGACTGGGTTTGGTGAACGGTGGAGGAAGGTGTGTAATAATGTAAGCGATCGGTGGTGTCAGCAACGAACCTTCAGGTTCGCTAAGCCTTTTATTATTATTATTATTATTTTACAATATCACAATGTATTTATATAATTGTAAGCACTAGCGGATCCAGGATTTAATTTTGGGGGACTTCAACCCAAAAGCTTTTTTTTTCATATAATTACTTACAATATAATTACTTTGAAAAAAAAATGAAGATACTAAATACCTATATGAAATGGTGTTTAACTGATTCTTGAAGGTCTATTAAATGTAATTAAAATGATTTAATATTAAAACATTATATCTTAAAGTATTCTTTAAGAGATAATTTTTTTCCTTAAAACATGGTTACATTTTACTCTTATGAAAGAGGGGAGGAGAGGAGCTTCATCATGAAACCCTACCTACCTAAAATTATCTCTTTCTTTCTATAAAGTGTAATTTTAAGTTTACAATGTAGTTTTTGTTCCTAGTTAATGTTCAAATAGATTTTTATATTAGATTGATAGGATTGATGAATAATGAATCATAAGACAATCTTGAGCTTGTAAAAACTAAAATTTAATTTAAAAATTAAATTGAGCTGATTTAGAAACTAACTGTCCCACCCATATTTAATAGTTTTCAATAAAAAAAATAGGTAAACAAATCAGATATAGTTTCAGCTCTTAGTACACAAATCAATACAGATATCTCACTTTTAAATTGAAATTATATTTTATGATTAATTTTATTTTGTTTATATATTCTGTAATTTAAGTGCAAATTATCTATTTATGTGAGCCATGGTAACCACAATGGAAGAAATTAGAAATATAAGGTGTTTTGTTCAGTTAAGCTAACTGGCAAAGATTAATTACCTTAAATTAATCTGGACCACCAGAGAATTAAAAAACTCTAAGGGCATAGTAGTAAATTGTTACGAGTTGGAACTTTGGTTCCTTATAGTAATTTCTTCCCTCTTTGTCTTGTTAATTTATCATCTTAAATTCGTTTTAAGTATTAACAAAAAGAGTAGAGAAACAGAGTGCATTTTTAAAGTGCCTTAAGATATATTTTTATAATCAATATCAATGTGTATGTTACAACTAAAAAAAAAAAATCCAAATTAATGAATGCATTTTCTCTGATTTTGGGAATCTATGATTAATTTAAGATATTTTTGTTTTTAAAGAACTGGAGGTGTGAGAATTGCTTGCTAATTGACAAATGTGAACATTATTTTTTTCAAGGCCCAGATGAAAATGGGTTTAGCTTCTGAATAAAAAAAAAAAAAAATTCGAATTCAGAATAGTTGAATAATCATCTAAAGCAATTGTTATTGATTATTCAATAATTGCAAATGTTTAAATTCTATAGGAATGATTGAAATATAAGTTCAAGTGGAACATTTAAAAAATTTTGTGAATTATTGTGGATTAGAGAAAATAATTTTTTAAAATAACAAAATCACTGTGATGAAAAATGAACATATTTATGAAAATTTGAAAAGCGAACTTGTAGAGGTGCCCCTGACACCATGTACTAAAATAAATGAGTGGATATCTGTTGGGAACAGAAGGGATATTTTGGAGACTTCCATTCAAGAATAGAATAGGAGTTATTATATGCCTAACTCTTTGAATGATTTTATTTGATGTCTGCTAAGTGTTTTTTAAATTACAATACTTTTTAGTTATACTGAGTTATTTTTCACAACCCGTAATAAATAAACCCAGCATATATATATATATATATATATATATATATATATATATATATATATATATATATATATATATATATATATATATAAATTTAAAATTTGCATTTATTTTTATTTAAAACAGCAAACATTTGATATTGAAACCATTCATTGCCTACATAATTTACTCAATCAATCTTATCGAAACTCAAATTTCTTAAGTCGAACTTAACATGATTCTCCCACCTACATACTAGTCTACCAGAGACATTTCTCTATTGAACTAGGATTTAGTACATTACTGATATCCACAACTGTATATACCCTTCATGTATCTTGATACTGTTTCTTTAATTAAATAACAGAGTGCATTCGCGGAAATTCTTGTAGTTAACATGAACCATTAAAGATATTTGGCCTCAATTAATAGAAAGACTATTAACGGAAATGAGCCAAATTGAGCTCATGAAAAGAACAGATTTTCAAACTCTAGATATAATTAGTTGTATGATGAATTGTAGATATTACATTTAAAGAAAAAAAAACTATATTGAAATTTTAATTCATTACAAATTCTTATTCAACTGCAACTAAAATACTTAATAACCGATAACTATTTACAATTAACTTTCTCTTGAATTGAAATACTTCAGAGAACCATTTCTTTTTCAATTATTTGTATTATAGTATAATTTATAGACAAATATATTTTAATATTTCAATAGAATATTGAATTTTAAATAGGTATAAATATTTAAAATTTACGTATATTTAAAACTCACATTGTTACTTCTGAGAAAAGCTGATCTATCAATTGGTTTCTTAAATAAATATTATATCATAACAACTTTATTAGTTCAAGAACAAAATTGTATACATTAATAAGAAAAATATACAATTACCAAATTGTGTAATTATTGTTATTAAAGGATGTAATAATGATTTTTCTAAAATATAAACATGGAAAATAGAAAATTGTAAATTGAATATATCTATGTTAAATTATAATATAAGCCAGACAAAATATAAAAATGTTGTCAACTATAGTACTATGATATTAGCATAATTAAAATTTTTATCATAATTATGGAACTTAGCATTTCACTGTTGAATGTTTTAAAAGTAATTTATGACCTCCGATGAACTAATATAAAAATATAGAATTAGTCACAAACTGACTTATTTTATTACGTTACATAATACATAATATTATGCTATGGAAAAGATCACAGACAGTTTTAAATAAAAATTATATATTTAAAATTCAAAATAATAGTAGGAGGCTATAAATAAAACTATATATTTGCTAGCAATTTAATCACAATTGAAACCTAAAAACTAAATTAAGATGATGATCTATGACATATATATTAACATTTTTTTTACAGATATGCTATACTAGAGGCAAAACAGTAGATAAAATTAATATCGCTTATATTATTCTAAGCCCATTAATGTCTATGTCATTTGTGTCACTACAGTACAGTGAATATAATTCTTTGATTTATTAAATTCAAAGGAAATTTCAAATCTTGTTTTCTCAAAAGTAGGAATTAGCATATTTATGGTATTGCCTCAGAAGGTACAACATATATTAATATTAATGTTATTTCAATGATACTTATCTACAAGAATATTACCATACATATTATGTCAGAATGACATTTTAGAAAATTAAATCAATAAGTAATTTGATGAATTTTCCCTTGTGAAATCAAAACACAGAGTAATAAATGAACCTATTTTTAGCATATAATAAATAAGATTTGTGTTATTTTGGTACACTTACTGAATTTTTACATCGATAAAAATCATTGAAATTCACAAATATGTTCTTAGAAGTTTAGTTCCACTAAAAATATACTTAGTAACATTTTACAATACAAATCATGCTTAAAAATAATTAAATAAATACAAAATTTACAAAAAAGAAAATTCTCTGGAACATTATTTAATTAAATGATGTTGCTGGTATTCTTCTAAACACTCCTGTGTTCTAGCTCGGAGACTTTCCAACAAGTCAAAAGTATTTAATGCTGTATGGAGAATTTCAATTTGTTTTTCTTTTGAAACTGGAGGAAGCTGAGTACCACCAATACTAACAGTCACTTTTTCACCAGGAGGTTTATTATTTAGATCACTTATTTGTAACTTGTAATGAGCGACTGATAAAGATAACCCTCTCTTAAGGGGTTCGAAAAAATGAGTTTCTAGATATGGAATGAAATTACATATGCCAGAAATATTTTCTTTATCTCTAATGAATATAAACCGAAGTATATTTAATGCTGAGACTATTTGATCAGACAGTTCAATTAAATCACTTTCAGCACCATTATGCAAATGACAAAACTTTTTCAAAAGATTTTGTAAATTTTGTCCTGTGAAATATTCTAAATCAGCAGGGTTTTTTTCATTAAGAGCTTTCAAAACTAGATCTTTGGCAATGGGAATTATATAACCTACAAAATTTGGTGATTTTATTTTGCTTTGAATATTTAATAGTATAATAAATCTTCCCTGAGAATTAAATTTGAATAAAAATGACTTGAACAGTTGAACAGCAATTTGCCTATTGATCTTTACATCAGAATAAATCATAATATTACATAAACTTTCTGACAATTCTCCATAAAGATTATCTTGAACGCATGCAAACTTGAGAGAAAAATCTCCTATTCTTTGCAAAGCAGCTTGAAATAACTGAAGACCCTTTTTTTGAACACCACTATGCATGGTACTGAGGAATTCTACAGATAAAATTGTCAACATTTCAAAAACATACAATGGATTGTAGACATGAGAAATATTCTGAATATGTAACTGTTCTTTAAATAACAGATAATAAAATACTGCTAAAGAAATGTTATTATAATCCAAGTCAGCAACATCTGATAATGTTTCTTTCTTGTTAAACCTATATTTAGAAACAAAATTCAAAAAATACATTAAATCAATCCGAAACTTTATAATTTTATCAAAAAGTTTTTCTGCTATCAAACGAAATTCTCCTTTGTTTTTTTCCTCTTCTAAATTCATATATACCAGTGGTCTTCCCAATAACTTAACTAAAAAAGATAAAAATGAATTCCTAGACTCTTCAAGGATTACTTGATCTAGTATAACCACATTTAATCCTTCACCACTAAAAGGCTCACAAAAATCAAGTACACAATTATAAATGTCTATCAATTTTCTGGATGAATCAGTATTCTCAAAAAGAATATATTCTTCTCCATCTAGTTTAAAATCTTCACTAAATTCCATGTAGCTTAAATGGCGTAGGACAGTATTACAACACCACATTATTTGGTGCCCTATATTATCAGATTTTTTTAGTAAAGATATCTTCATTGCTTTTAACATTGTCATAAATAGTATATCATCATTTTTTTCAGCATGTTCAATAAAATCGATAAGGACTATGTCTGGTTTTGTAATTTCGGCTATTTTATAAATAATATCTTCACAATGATGAAAAAGATCACGATTATTTTTATATTCATTTTCAGTGAGATTCTTGGCTAATGTTGTTATTACCTCCGAAGATTGCTCTTCAATATCAATACTAAATTTTTCAGATCGAATAAGACTAATTACTTCTTCGTATTTTTCTGACTTCAAAAGTTGAGAAATTTCTTTGGAAAAATCAGTATCATTGATACTTTCACTAACTACTGTTTCAATCATATTATTTACACTCATGTTTTCCGTCTTATATGATTAAGTTAAGAACGAAGTTTTTAACAATTAATAATCTATGATTAATTTTAATCCAAAACAAATAAAATTTTATGATTTACTGTCTTTTTCTAAGCATAAGCAAATTGTGTAAAAAGCTCACCAGAAATTTCATTTCTGTGTTTGTAAGTACAAGCCCACTTCCTAAAGTGACATGCCAAATTTCTTGCCATACCAAATCAAGCATCAATCGTTACCAATTAAGTATATGCTTGACACAAGTAATTTAAATCTTAAACATTGGTTTAACTTGAGACAATTGAGTAGGTTACTATAACCCTCCTTATAGGATACCTCATAACGTTGTGACCTCTCATAATTTATCCAAAGATTTTATTAAATCCACTAGCAAATCCAGGATAATTTTTTTTTTTTTTTGAGGGGGGGCAGGCTTATGTTTTTTTTTCATATATATATAACAATTAATTAAAAAAAAAAAAAACTAACTACCTATATGAAATGGTGTTTAAGTGATACTTGAAGTCCTATTAAATGTAATTACACGAACAATAATACTTTGAGAGATAATAAGTACCAAGAAGTAATTGAATATTATTTTTTGTAATGAATAAATTAAATATTAAAATAATATTCCCTCAAAATATTCCCAATTAAATCAATTTTAATTATTGTGTTTTTTGTTTTTTTACATGCCTAAAAACCCTAATGAACTCTACCATTTCAAACGCCTGTACTGAGGCATTTAATTCTGTCTCATGGGCTTCTATGCAAGACAACAGTGGCGGATCCAGGATTGAATTTTGGGGAGGGGAGAGGTGTATATCAACTCTATATTAAATTACAACAACCGAAAAGATTTTTGTTTTCATATATATATATAGCGATAATTACTTTGGAAAAAAAATAATAAAGGTACTAACTATCTATATGAAATAGTGTTTAACTGATTCCTGAAGTCCTATTAAATGTAATAAAACGAACAATAATACTTCAAGAGATCATTTTTTTCCATAAGACATCGTTACATTTTATCCAAATTCTCTTGAGGGACACGACTGACAGGGCACATCATATTATGTTGAGTATAGAAGAAGAAATGATATGTCCAAGTGAGGTTGTCATCTACCCTGGCATAAAAATTGGTCGAAAGTTCAACGTGACTCCTCACCTGGACTATATGATAACTAGCTCGTTAAAAACGAAAAGAATATTGATCCACTATGCCCCAACTGCAACGTTCCAAAGACCGCCGAACATGTGGTCGTCGGATGCACTGCCTAAGTGCACAATATTGAGAGAGACGAAGATATATACGCTGAGAGCATGTTCCCCCAGCTAATAAGCACAGAAAATTATCCACATTATAGGTAATTCGTATATTGGTGAAAAGATACTGTAGGCCTTACAAATTTTAATCTGGGAAGAAGAGATGGAAGTTAAGACAAGCTGCAGCTGCTTCGAGGACCGGCTTCAGGTGGAAGAAGGAGGAAGAATGGAGAAAATGAAAAGTGTGGACTTGTGCACACAAACAAGTCTACACCTCATAAATAATAATATAAAACAAAATTTTATTTAAATAGATCTATACTGCCAGCAGTGGCATACGCATACTGCGTAATAACCCACTGGTGCTACAACCCGTATTGTCTGTAAGACAAGGCAGGGAGAAAAAAAAAATGTTACATTTTACCCTTTGGGGAAGGAGAGGAGAGCTTCAGCCCGAAAGCTTCCTCTCCCCCCATCTGTGCCCCGCCTGTGCAAGACACTATTAGAACGCAAGTTCCAGAAGCAGCTAAATTGGCATTCAGTAATTTATGCTTCAGTGATCAATCAGGGTAAAGAACGGCGAGGTGGTAACAAAAAATGTTTTGCTCACCTGCGGTGTCCTCCAAGGATTTGTGCTATTTCCAATATTATTATTAATATTGGGCTGATACTGCTGAAGCAAACTATAAGAAAGCTACAGTAGCGGTATACTCCGGCAACATTGCAATCTTCAGTAGCTCCTTACACGCGACGAGAGGTTTAGAAAAGGTGGATAAGGCTTATGAAGAAATCACAAACTGGAGGGCTAAATGTTACAGATAATCTCAAAAAGATAGGTTGTATAATTTTTTGCTTTCAGAATAACAAGGGTTCACTTCTTTAGGTCAATGGGTAGAATGCAAAACCATTAAGACGACAGATAGAATAGTGCACTCGGTGACACCTTCGACAAGCACCAGACAATCTTCCACCACCGACAGAAGATCAGGCTGGTGAGGACCAAGTCTTACAGACGAATGAAATCATCGATTGACTTGACCAAATCTATTCCTTCTTCTTAAATTAATAATTTATAAAAGCGCCCTGAGATCAGCCCTCCTTCATGGGACAGTGATGCTAGCAAACATATCGGTCTCAAAGACAACTAAACTTTAGCATTAAGTTTGTGTTTTAATTAAGTGCTCACTGAGACGTATTGTGAGGCAGACTTCATTGTCGAGGAAAAGAATGTACCTACTATACTCCTCAAGCAGTACCGGGGCAGTTGCCCTGTGGCGCCGACTTGGAAGGGCCCTGTTCGAAATTCAAGAGCGCTCGCAACTTGTTAGAAATTTTTTAAAAATACAAAACATATTAAAATAATTAATTTTAGCCTAGGGCGGATTGATCGACTGAGCGGATCAAGCTCATGTACAAAACACCACGGGAACCTGATAACCGAAGTTATACGGAATAAAATAAGTACGAGTACGCGTCCTGGTGCCAGTGGGATTTTTAACTTGGGCATTAATTTCCCGCCCCCGCCTCGTACATTACGCAACTTATCCATTTTTTGGAATTCTTACTCCGGTGGGACGACTACTGAGATTACAAACACGTGCAAAAATCCACAGAATAGAATAGACTGATTACTACTGACCAACAAAAGACAATTAATGAGCCTCGGCATTAGAATACCGTTTTTATCACAATTCCAATGTTCATCAATTGTAACACTTTGTAACTTTCTTGGAATGCACATCATTCATTTATTAAAAGTTTTATAGAAACATTGAGGGTTGAGGTTCAGTCTTATGGCAGTAAATACCAAAGGCTTCTATTGTAGATTATAATCTCATACGATGAATCGTAGACCATAAAATTTAAGTGATTATGCGATCGATGGAATTAAAAAGGAAACTGACCACACTATTCTACTTGATACACATTTTGTTTTCTTCTAAAAATATCTAGTAATCTCAACTTAAAGGGGTAGAATCATACACTAGCGGATCCAGGATTTAATTTTGGGGGGGCTTCAGCTCGAAACCTTTTTTTTTCATAAAAATAACGATAATTACTTTGGAAAAAAAGAAAGAAACTAACTACCTATATGAAATGGTGTTTAAGTTATTCCTTAAGTACTTTTAAATGTAATTACACGAACAATAATACTTTAAGAGGTATTTTTAAAATTTTTTTCCTCATAAAACATGGTTATATTTTTCGATTTTGGGGGGGGGCTTCAGCCCGAAAGCCCCCCCCCCCGTAGATCCGCCCGTGGAATCATATAATAACGCCAGTTCTAATTAACGACTGTGAAACCAGTGGAGCTGCGGCGTAAATCGGTTGCGGCGGATCCAGGGTTTAATAAGAAATAAGAGCCCAAGTAATCTTTGAAGCAATTCGATAAACAATATCACAAATAATATCAGAGGCATTCAAATGGCAAATGAACTTTGGTTTATGAAGATGACGAGGAAAGGAGATATAATCAAATATTAAATGAAATGAAAATAATTGTATTATTCTGGAACTAGTGTACCTTTAGAGCAAATTATAGATACATAATATAAATTAGCATGTTGGTGTGTCCATAAAATAAAATTAAATATTTACAAGATGATAGGTAATAAAATAAAAGTACGGATAATAAAAAGTTATAAAAAACGTACATAAATATAAAATAAACAGGGAAAAGTAAAATAAATAAACAAAATATCAATAAATCATAAAATAATCAAAGTATCTGCGGGTACTTTGAGAGTCCTACGACTTATATTTTTAAGTTCATTTCATAATCAACCATATTGGGAATGGAATAGATCCTAGAAGAGGAGATTTGAAAGAGGATACTGACTTTGCGTGTCGAATATCAGAAATGATAGAATTCCAGAGAGAGACGACTTGAGTTAAAAAGGATTTGTCAAACGCAGCAGTTCGGTGAGGAGGATTTAAATTGTAGGATCTGTAGAATACAGGAGGGTCGCCGAGTTCTAATAGCCTGGTATAGGAAGATAGCAAGGAAACACTGACGGTGGTAGGACGGATAAAGCCACTTCGACTCGGTGTAATACTGGGTAATATGATTATCCCTTGAGATTCCGAAAGTAAAACGTAGCGAGCAATTCATTAGACGTTTAAGTTTGGCTTTGAGTTCACCATACACCACACAGCCATGGTTGAAGGGGAGGGGAACAAGAGATGAAACCAGGAGTTGACATGTTTTGAATGAAAGGAGAGAAATATGATACCAAGATTTTTAACGGATTAACGACACTGGATTGGAGAACTCCTAAAAAATTAGCAAAGAAAATATGTAATTATTTTAGAAAAGACATCACAATAGTTTTGAATTTATTTGGGTTAAGCGATGAATATTACAAGCGTTTTTAGATTAATGATAGCAAGTTAGGGTTTAGATGGTTAAAATGTAAGTTATTTCTAGTAGGTAATGGTTGCAACGAAGAAGTGATTTGGCAAAGTTATTTGTATAAGTACAAAAAACAGGATAAGGGAATGAGTCCTATGGAAAGCCCTAATAAAGATGAAGTGTTTATTTTGAATGAGGTATTTGGGAATGACTACGAATGAAGTAAGATAGGCGGTCTTAAGATAACATTAACACAGATGATAACATCAAGATGAGGTTATATTAGAATGTAATAGACTTGAAAAATGATTACAGCAATTAAAAATTTGCTGATTTTATTTTTTGAAAAAGTTTGATGAATTTAGTTTTATTACATCTTGGTGTTCAGGTTTCTACAGAAGGATGGAGGAATTTGTAGTTTGTGAAGATGACTACATTTTCAATGTTGATTGGAATTGTCAAGAGAAATCTGAGTTTAGTTTAAAATTGGAGAATGCTTGGCTTTTGAAAAAGAAATACTTCAGATATGAATTGAATATTATCAAAAGTCGCATCTTGGAAGGAGAATATGGGTTTCTTGCACAGGTACACTAGATTTAGTGCTGAACTTTTACATTCATCTGGATGTATATTAGCTTTTCATCTTTTCAGCTGAACACTGATCGAGCAGTAAACAAAAGAACCCCAGAAATAATTACTAGTGTGAATCAACCTTTTTCAATAGATTCTTTTAATTTTACTAGAGCAAATCAAGACGAAATTATGTTTTTTCTTACTAAAAGTGATGGTTTCAATCATAATGGTTATAAATTTGTAAAACTCACTACAATGGGTAAGAAGTAATATTAAACCATACTTAATTTGACTATTTTTTTCTAGAGAATAGAAATGCTATTATGATAAATGTTAGTCCTCTTGAAAGATATCATTGCTTACTGTTACCATCTCTTTATGAATGTTTGCCTCAGGTTCTTCTTAACCAAGAAGCTTTAAATCTAGGAATCAGTTCTGTCTTATTGAATGGCTCTGTGTAAGTAATAACAATGAAATATATTGTAACTCCCAATGTTATTAAAAAAACTTTGAATTTTCTTTTTTTGTTTGTGAATAGTGAACAAAGAGCTGGATTTAATAGTTTGGGTGGCTATGCATCAGTAAATCATCTACACTTTCACACTTATTATTTAAACAATCCAATGAAGCTTGAAACTATTGTAAGTAAAACATTTTGCTGTTGGAAAATTTTTAAAATGACAGAGATAAAATGTTATGAATATAGCCTTAGCAATAATTTTATTAATATAGAATAGTAATTAAAATACAAAATTTATCTGAAGGATTACCTGCATGAAAACTATGTTTTAATGTTAAATCATATCAATTCATGTTCTAGGAAGTCGAGCACCTTATGGGCCGCTGCTACATTTTAGAAAATTATCCAGCAAAAGCATTTGTTTTTCAAGTAAAATCAAAAGAGGAACTTTCCCTAACTGTGAAGTATAGTTATTTGCCATTTTAAAAATTAATTTTTATTATTATGCTCCATAATAGTTTCTTTTCTATATTTCAGTGATATACATTTGCTTGTCAATTTATTTATAGAAAAAAATGTTGCCCATAACCTGTTTATATCAAGAGGTCTTAGTTTTGAAAGATCAAAATGTTCTACGGAAACCTCAAAAAGAGATTGTGTAAGGATTTATTTATGGGCACGAACACCTACCTTTGGTAAGACTAGTGTTAGAAATTGAAAGTTTAGTTATGTATTTTATGTTCTTTTGAGTACAAATATATATATATATTTAGGTGGTCATTGGTCCATAAGTTTGATTTAGTTTAGTGTGTGGGTGTGTTTATATATTACGTAATATGTTTATATTAATATATATACATATATATATCAATTAACAAGGATCAAGCTATCAATTAACTAGCCACACATCAAATCCTTCAGGTATTTTTCTCCTCAGGTATCCTCGTCGCCAACTGTTTTAACTTAGGTAATTTAATCAATTAATAAAAATATTGAACACTAGAAAATACTATTTACTGCCAAACATACAAACTTATAAACATATTTAAAATCCAAAAGTTGACACACTAAAAGAAGGAAGAATACACTACATATGACTGATATAAAAAATGAATGTTTATGTTTATGAAGTCCGTAACTATGGTAGCGGATTAATAACACCTAGAAAATCACTACAATATGTATAGTCAATTTATGTATTTTTAATTTACAGGGTCTAAAGCTCTGGATGAATTTAATCCTGCATTATGTGAGCTTTTTGGACATTTGGTAATTAAAAGTAAGTAATTATTATAGAGATATAATTACAATTATCATGAATATATATATTTTCATTCAGCTGATTTCCATCAGAACCATAGACTCTTAGGACCATCACAAATAGAACCCAGGACTCACCTTCCATTACCCTATATTTTAAAAAAAAATATGCCCATGCTGCTCTTTCGTTTTGCTGAATGCTAGCAAATCATCCATATACACTTGGCACTCTGCTTCATCGATTCCCCTCAAAAACTAATAAGATATTGTAATGTTTTCGACATATTTTGTTAGCTGAAAGGCATTCTCTTGTCGCTTTTCGAATGTAAATGACGTGTTTGGGGTGCATTTCGATCTGATGAAAACCTGCTTCAGGTCTAATGTACTAAAGAAAATTGGTCCGCTCAGTCTATACAAGAAGTCCTCGAATCTGGGGATTGGGTATTTTTCATCTAGTGTTTTTTTTTGTTTGCTGCAGTCTATGACAGCTGTATATTTTTCCTGGTTCTCATCCGGCCAACACATTTACTTCATTGCCCACAAGGGACTGTTATATGGTGACGTGCTGTCTATTATGATATCCTGTTTCTTTAAATTTACTATTTCTTCCATGAAATGTTGTCTTAAAGCCTCCAGGTACCGCCTCTCTTTTATGTATGTAACATCCACCATGTTATTTCAGCAGAATTTCATGGACAGTTTTCCCCGTTACTGTACAGACTTCAACAATATTATGTACATATACATATGCAGTTTTCATAAATGCTATCGCTGGTATTATTTTATACTTAATTGTATAGATAACAGCGATATAAACATTAAAATTTATATATATAAGGGTAATTAAACAAATAAAAATACTTACCATGAAATGTAAATAAATATAAGTCGTGTGATGCACGTACCAGATTTTTTAATTTGTTTGGAAGTTGTGGAATAAAGATTAGCTTATTTTAAAATAAGAAAATTATGTTTTCCAGCACCAGTGTCATTATTTACTTCATACATCTTGAAGATAAATTCTGATTATTTTTCAGCTTCTGAAGCTTATGACGAATTAACAGAAGCAAGGGTTGCAGAAATATTATTCTCTATAACACATGAGCCATACAGTTCTCTTAAGGAAAGTGTAAAAGAACTATATAATAAATAATTTAAATTTATTAAATAAATATGATTATAAAAATAAAAATATAATAAACTAATACAGTTTTTTTTTTTTTAAATAATAGCTATTCCTAATAATAATAGAATTAGAACATTTGAGTATTGCACAGGTTTTTTCATAATCTGAAATTAATAGATATATTCAAAATTTTTATCAGTCATTGTGACTGATGCTATCTATTTATTTCCTACGGATTTGGATCTTCTTGAAATTATGAATTATTTCACAATAGAAGAATATTATTGATCAAACAACTCAAGCGAGAACACCTTTTCATGCACTTGTACCTTAAAAAGTCTTTTGTCATTGGAATAGAAATTTAACTTATGAATTTGTCCATATGATTGAAAGAAACTAAAATAAATCGAAATGAAGAAGAAAAAATATTTGACAAGATTAATTAGAGGGCAAAGGATTTTATTTTCGTTAGTATAACCTCCGGACCTAAGCTATATCTACAAAGTTCTCCATTAAGTTGTTCAATTTAGATATCACTAAAAACTCTAAGGTTCACAAAACTTTTTCCAACAGAAGGTGTAATTTACCTTTTTAATGGTGTCATATGGAATCTTCTAGTGTTTCTCAAAAAACAAAAAAAGTTTGAAGTTTCCATTATTAATTTTGCCATTCTTAAGTAATAACTATTTTTATTTTATTAAATCTTCAAAGAATAAAATCACAATATTCGTTTAACTCTGTGGAAATGCACTAAAGGTGGAATGGACTTTGATATATAAAAATATAGACTATCACAATAGTTATATTTTAGAATGAACCAATTTTTTTTTTTTTTAATTTACTTGCTTTAACTTCATAATATACAATATAGTCAATAATAATTGAGAAACACCAGATAAGATGATCCATGGTATATCAAATACATATTTTTAAATACAAAATAATATTAAAATAAAATTGTACATTTTAGCACCTTCAATATAAGTAGTTACATTATATATGTAATTTTCACCTTCAATAGGAACTTGAACAAAAATACTGAAAATTATTACATATAAAATAGTATGATAGTTTTTAAAATATTTTCTAATATAAACAACACAAAAAACTTAAAATTTTAAAGTGAAGCATTAACTTACAGCTAAGCTTAACAATATAAAATAAATCAATAAATTAACAGTGATGTCTATAAACATAAATTGGTAAGGTACAATTATGTTAGCTTAAAGGGTGCATTAGGGCAGGGTAGCAAGACCACACAAGAGTGCGTTATTAGTAGTAATAAATTAGTGTGGTGAACTTATACTGGATTTAAAATTTTGCTATGGCAATAGTTTATTTATTGCAAAGCTTGAATGCTACCTAAAAAAACATGAACCTCGAATATAAAGTTCATCAGCAAATTCGGTAAGCAGTTTTTTCTAAAAATGTTGCTCCATGAGTTGTAAACATGTTCAGAATCAAAAGGTGAAGTTGAACGTGGCACGGATTCTGTATATTGATGAACAATAGTTTATATCATTAAAATAATGCTCGTTAATCAAAATAAAAAAATCTGTTATGTACCAGAATCAGTATACCATAAAAAATGATGTCCATGATCAAGATGTCTAACCAATTTGGAACGTAGTTTAATGGATAAAATAGAATTATTTGATTTATAGTACAACCTTACATGCACTATAGTTTGTTCCTAGCCTTAAAGTAATTAATGTACTACATGCTAAAATATTATATGAAGAGCATACTCCAAAAAACATTGATATAAAATACAGATCTTTAAAATAAAATACAGGCAATGCTAAACAGAATCATTCTCTGAATTTCGCTTTCACAAAAGCAGGGAGTGGCATGATATACAATAGAACATTTCCAAGAACAAATATGGCTGGAAATGCTAAAGTAAATATAAAATTATAATCAACATCCCATGAATGAGATGGTCTATGAGCGAAATGAGCATGATTTTCAAAATATTTGCAGCCAAACATAGCTTGAGAGCAATTCGCCATAGGCTCACCAAACACCCTATAACTTAGAGCTGCTGTTGCATAGTGGGGCTGAGCTCCATAACTCATGTACAACAACCATTCAGGCATACTGCTACTGGATCTGATTAAAAAAAAATTTTAAAATGAAGTAATTTTAGTCAAATAACTTGACTGGATTAGAAATATATAAATGAAAGGTAAGATTAATTACGAACCGAAGTATTCCAGAAGCCAAGATGACATAAATTGTTGTTATGTAGATAGAAGTAATCATTGCCGTCATGCTCGACTTGATGACCATAAGCAGTGCGATTGCCTGATGTTCAGCCAACAAATAGCAACCCCAGAGTACACCAAACCATATTCCCCAATCATCTAAACTGCTAAGGCCAGTAGCTCTAAAGATCAAACAAAGTAACATGATTTTTAGCATCAGTATTTCAGAACATAAACATAAGCATAAACATGGACTGAACAGGAAGTTATTAATTAACATTGAAATGAAATTTTGATGAACTAAAGCAGCTATAGATCATTAAACTGAAATAAAAAAGCCAACACACGAACATTAAAATACATTCCAAGGGTATATTGTTTGTGAAACAAAATTGATGTGTAATGCTAGAATTCTTCCAATTATATATGATTAAAAACTTAACATAAATAACAGTTTTTATGGTTTAGAAAATTAAAGGAAAGAATAATAATTATTTAACACAGTATTAACTTAATATCAGAGTCAAAATGACATCGAAGTTTATGAATCATTAGAGATTTTTTTGGAAAATGAATCAATTGAAATTTGGGTCCCAACGTTTCCTTCTCTCTTAGAATAAACAGTTTTTAAAGGGAGAGTATAACTAATAAATCTCTGATTAATGATGATGTATTAATATTACACAGTAGAGTTTCTTTCTTAGAATTTACTAATTTTAGAAACTAATAGTCTGATATGAAAAATTCTTTTTATACCAACACTATAGATAGATCATTTATTGAGGAAGGCTTTAGGCTATAATATAATATAATCATGCTAAGACTCAAAGTTTTAAACATATTGGATTGGAATTGACTTGAGAGAAGATTTTTCCACAAACAACTGTGCGCTGCGTTATTAGTCCATTCAATGAATGATTTTAGAGGGAAATAGAAAGAACACAATTTTTGTTTTTGGGGCTTTGTTTGATCTAGTAAGAAGGTAAACATATTAAAAGTCCCCACTCCTAGGTGTGAGCCAAACGTGAATGGGCATCCAGGTCAATTTTTTCGGTTTGGGGTTTATATCAGGAAAATCATGCATCTAATCGATAATGATGTTCTATATAAAATTAAATCTGATTAAACTTATTGTACAACTAGCTGTACCCTACCACGCGTTGCTGTGGCTCATTCAATCAGGAAAGGATGTTATATATATTAATTAAAATCGTTACAGCCGTTTAGGCGCTACAATTTATAGAGACACAGGTTTTTGGGCTGCCATTCCGAAACGAAAGACCGGAGGGTGATTAAATTTATATAAAAACACTCCTGAATGCGATAAAAACATTATGTCAATATTTCAAAGCGATCGGTGAAGAAGTATCGAAGATTAGCAGTTTTAAACAAACGAACATTTACGTTTTTATAATATAGATTGCTGACATACATTATTTTGCTATCTCACATAGCTTCCAAGATATCCGTGGTTCTCAATATCGCTGACCTTGAAAAAAATTATTTTTCTTCAGTTTTTTTATGATAATTTTCTTCGCCAACCAATTCTTTATCTCTCCAAGAAATTCTACAAGAAATCATGAGGAAGAAAGTTAAGCATTAAATTTTTTCAATAATATATATTATTTTAATATCTTATCTTCAAACATTCAAAAAGTATTGTTATTAGACGGCGTTACGACCTATTTATTGAGTTAAAGCCTGGCCTATAATAGAATGCCTTTCCTCTCTGTTTCCTGCCATTACCTTACACTTCCAGGCACCAAGTAGGGACCTTTAAGAATGTGGAGGAATTATAAATTTATGTTCAGAGATTTTGCTGAAAAACTTGACTAAGGTATTTATTGTTGTTCTACTGCTCTTAATTTATATAATATTTACGTATTTTTATATAAATAATATTTACTAAATGTATAAGTAATTCAGAAATAATCAGTATTTATTATTTACCATATTTTCAGGTACATTTGCAGTTCTCTTAAAGGAAATTGTTTTTAAAAGTCACTGATACATAATGCATTTTATCTACCATTTGAAGAAGATATCTTATTGCACATATTGTTTATTTTCCATAAGTAATCGTTATATTTCTATAGGAGAGAGAAATAGATAAAAATAGTTTACTGAATTCTCAGGGTCCAGAATAGCATTTAATGACAACAAACTTTAAAATTTACTTTCATAGGACTACTAATTTGTGGGCCAGACTCCCCTACCATGCACCTCTCCACATCCCTATAAATTGCGTATCATGATGTTTCTTGTAACTATTTATTAAAAAAAAAAAACAATGTTCTAACACTGATTACTTTTTAAAATATTTGAAGCAGTTCCATAGAAAAGGCACTTCATTTTTTGCTTCCTCACTACCCAAGGTAGAGAAGCATTGTGTTTGTGCGAGATGTTAAAAAAAATTTTTGTGCTCAAATTCGAAAATTTCCACTCGCGTTTTACGTTTCAGACATCAAGGAGCAAATTTGGTTCGGTGTCTGTCTCTAGTCAAATCAATGTGACGGGCATATCACCGATTTTCATGAAATTTTCAGGGATTATGTGGATTGGTGCCTAGATGGTCCCATATCAATTTTATCAAATTCCATTCAGCACTTCCACTTACGCAAACGTATTTTTTTTAGATATGCCAATATTTCAGAAAGGGATTGTTCGATTTTGCTCAAAGTTGGATAAAAGGTAGATATTGGTGAAAAAATAATGTGTCAATTTTTTTATTGTTACTTCCTTTATTCTATATAGAGGATGTTTAAGAAGGCCACTATAGTAAAAATGATATAATTTCAATCTTACCTGTTCAATCACTTCTTATCCGTTCTTTCCCATAAAATTGTAAATGGATGTAAATATGTACATAAATTATTAGCTCGTTTCAAATATTTTTATATCACTTTTAAAATTATTAAAGTTAAAAGATAACTTATACTTTTTTAAATTTATTATGTCAATTTGTTTTTTTTTATTTATTTTTATTATTCTCTGAGGCTCCAAAGCCCACATTTCTATCTCTGTACATTATTCTAAAGGGACTTGTACCAGAATAAATAGAGTATTATTTTATGTATTCAGTAAAACAAAATATGTAAATAAAACTTACTGAAACAAAATCCTTGAGGCAGAGGCAACAGAGAGAATTGAAAAAGGTAATGAAAATAGAGCATAGCATAAGAAGAACAAAGGCCCACTATACAGATCCTCTTGAGCTTCCTGATAATATCTTGTCCGGAATACATGGACTGAAACATCATAGAATTTTTAGAGTATTTTTATTTCAATATGAAAATGAACAAACTATTTGGAATTAAAAGACATAAATTATTGATAAGGATCCCGCAGCCCATTCCAAGCAGAGAAAATGAATTTTCAATTCGTTTACTTACAAGTATAAGATGTAGTGATAGTAGACATTAAATATGCACCATTCATACTGTATAAAATGAGTCCATAATGATTAATGCCAGCATGCTCTTTTCTCTAAAAACATCAGATAGATTTAATTGGATAGTGTGTTTCTTCTGCTTAAATTAAATCTAGCTTGGAAAATGAAAACAACTTTCCTTATCTAAGTTATATTTCTTATAATTTTAGTTGTTAAGGTAACAATAAAAATCATATAATAGCTAGCCATAACTAAGGGAGATATAAAATTGTTTTTTTCCAAGCAAAGAAGTTTTTCCAATCCTTTCTTGAAAGTATTTTTTAATTTATTAGATATACTTATTTACCAGTTAATCTTGAAAGGTGGAAATGAACATCATCCTCTGGAAGAATTAATTTGATTACTAATTGAATGAAGTCACCTTGGCTATATACTTCTAAAAGTTGATTTTGCTAATTCTTAACAAAAGCAGTGGTCAAAAACAATAGTAGAAGTCAAGTTTTTTCAAAACTTTGTAATTTTTTAATAATAGTTTGCTATTGCTCTGTCATCAAATTGTGGGCGACCTCTTTGCAATAAGGCATTACCTTCCAGATTTTTTTTTTTTTAAAGAACTTTGACGCATAATAGGGCTTCATGGCCATAGTGCATTTTGTCATGGAAAGAAAAATTATATCAGAGCTGCCAGAAACTTATATACACATGACAAGATTAATACATTGCACTACTGAGACGCCTGAGGCTACCCAAAAACTGCAAGAGGATATTGACTATATCCACATGTGGACAGAAAAAAATGAACTATACACAGAATTGAAGTAACTCCATCCTACTTCCCGATCACAATTCCTTCTTGGTATTTTCCTTTTCTAAGTCCTCAGAATAAAAAATCACCCCTACATCCTAGAACTCCTTACTCTATCCACTCTCTTAATACCAGATCTCAACCTCCTTTTGATCTGTACTCTCTCCTATAAAATCACTTCCTTCAGCAAATCCTTCGTCATTCGTATATATTCATACTATTAAATTTAATTTTGTTTTTCTTATATTCCATTTTTCCTCTTAAATATAGTTTTTTAAACCATGTTATGAAACAGTCATATATAGAGAGAAAATTACACGTTAACGGACGCCAGAGATAATAGCAGAGCCCTCTGACACTGCCATGGTCATAGAAAATAGGGTCAGATTTTCTGTTATGAGCTCTGTAAAAACCAAACAGTTTTCAAAATTCTAATAGAAAAAAATATCTTGTTATAATCCTGAAGATAGCCAATAAGCTTTGATAAAAAAGTTTTTATTTTGTGATTTTTAATAAATGTTTTTGATAAATCCTTGGCTAATTATTATTATAACAAGGATATTTATACAACCAGTTTTTCTAAGTATTGTAAACTTCTTAAATATATAAAGGCAAAAATTGTTTAAAGATTTGTTTGTTAAATATGGCCACTAGCACAAACATGATTTAAACACAGTCTGTTAAAACTTGAGCTAGTTTTGTAAATGTACAGGGAAGGTTATTATAAGGTTTTCATATTCAATTTACTATATTAATTTTAACTGAAATGGAATTCAAGAAAATAATCTGAAAAAGGTTGGACAAAAGAGGATGAAAATCTATGATTCTTGATTATGGGATATCCATTGAAGTTTGAAGTGAATATTTTCTTTTTTAATTCCTTACAAACCTAAGGTCACCACACTTTAAATAATAAACATAACAATGTACAAATAAAAGAATAATTAGCTGTTAAACTTTTGAATAAACAAGTAAAAGAGAAGTTATCGCAAGTGCAGGTTTCAACTTAGTATAGCTCAGAGAAGTGTGAATTATAATATTAACTTAAGCATTCCAAGCCATAGTTAACACTTTAGTAGGTTAGCACAGAGAGTTCATTCACTCAAAAGATTTGTGATAACTGTTTAGAACTATGGACACGTTAAGCATTAATCACAACATAATTATTTTTTTTATTTTACTTAATTAAAAAAAAAATACCTGAGCTTGAAAAAACAGAATAAAAATCATCAAAGCATAAATTGGAAACACGGCAAGCCTCAGAAACATATGAGTTAGTCCAAAAGTTGTGATATTACAAGTTGCAGCAAACAAACGTCTGTAATAAATGATTACTCAATAATTAAAAGAAAATGAGTAGTTAAAAACCAATCATTCTAATAGATAATTGTTACTATATACTAACTGGTATAAAATCATGAATACTTGAAGAGATGAGGGTCGAGAGGGCTGAAGAACAGCTTTCAGAGGCTGAGAATGTCCAGGACTAGTCATGTAAGAGACACCATCAGTTTTAAATTTTTCAACTAAATCTAGAATTTGAGCGTTTGATTCTAAAAACCTTTCACGACTTCTACGATCAACAGTAGACAGGCAGACTAAAGAAAAAGAAACATTAATTCATACTATAATCATAGAATATAATTAAAATTGCAAATACAATTCCACTTCTTACACAAATAATTTAAATATAAAAACTATTCATTAAATGATTTCCGTAGTTCATTAATAAACAAATGATTGGCTTATTATCAAAGACTGTTTAAAATCTATCATTTTCAGAAAGTGGAGAAAAGGTAGATTTTTGTTTTATTGGTTCACCTCAGACTATCTCCAATGTTTTTATTTAAGAATGTCCCAAGTTGAAACTTGAAAAAAATAATCATTAGAATTGGTTTAAATTGAAGCTATGAGTATGTAACAAAAATTAACTCAATTTTTTATAATGACAGATGTCCACCTTTGATCTGATACCACTCAAATGATGTAAGTAAAATTATAAATTTGCCCTTTTTATCATTACTAAAATTCTTTATTAAAATGAAGAAACTTTGAACTTGGCTATACTTAACCCCAATAAAGCGTGTTTCGATACCTATACAAGACCTAGTGTTTTAAAATCCACCTAAGACTTCGTAAATGACTTCATATTTTTTTTGCAATGAAAATTCTTGGAAATTTGCATTTTAAATCTGGAGATCTTCACATTTTGTCTATTTAATGAGGCACAAATAACTCATGAACTCCCATTCTCTTTCTATATGACCCTTAAAATAATGTGATCACAAATTTGACAAAAAAAAGGAGTTTTTCAAAAATATTGGGCTGTTTGGAATGACCTCCACCCTCCAACATGTACAAAAAAAAAAAAAGAGATTATATAGGCCAAATAGCTTAATATTTTCGTAGATAAGAACTTTTTTTCTCGATTTTGTGATCAAATGATTAAAGCGGAAGGCAAATGAATATTTAGTACCTAGTTAAATTAATTCATTTAATGAGAAAATGTCCCACTTCTGAGAATTTCAAGAGATAAAAATAAAAAAAATAAAAACAGGTCTGTACCACAGACTATAAGCTTAGTTTCGTAATCTGATTAACTAGTCTCCAATTTCCAATTATACAAATATAAGGCTGAATTATTTATCTTGTTATATTTTAATTTCACTATGCTTGTTTCTTATAACTTTTTATTGATAATTTGTTAAAATAAATAAATTCTTTTTCATTTGTTTGTCTATCAAAAATTAAACTAAGGACCTACTGATACTCTAACCATGGGTACCTGTAGATTGCTAACTTTTTTTAAATTATAGCTGTCATGCAAATCCAAACACTGATCATCTGGTTATTCATACGGAATCAAAAGAAATATATACATCAAGTGCCAAACCATTGTTTTGTCGATGTCAGAGGTAATTAAACTAGGATTCGCAAAACGATTTTAACATTAACTTTACATTCTCCAACTTTCCCCTTTTATTCAAAAAGCAACTCGTATCATAAAACTTTTACATAGCCAAGACTTTTTGTAATTTTGCTACTTAACTAGTTCTTAGTGTAACAAGTTAAAATAAATAAGATTAAGAGGTCTACGAAAACAAATATTGTTGAAAAGAGGTCAGTAGACAAGGGCTAGGTAAGTTTTTTGGCTAATTCAGCATAACCTACTTGATTCTGTTTTTAAAATTCTTAAATGTAGTATAATAACCTTAATTCATGTAATTCGGTTCAATTTCTGGAACTGTAAATAAATAACTTCTGAATAGACAGAAATGTCTTGCTCATTCAGTTCATAGAGCAAAATTCAAAACATACATTAGTATTGAAAATAAAATGAAGTAGACTTAAAGGAGTATTTATAAGAAAAAAATTACTTATTAATTATCATGTGCATTTTACAGCGATCCATATCAGTAATCCAAACTGGATCCAATTTTATCTCTATTTTACTATCATAAGATTGCCAACACTAAGTTTTAAGCTGAATATATCTGAGCTGTTATAAATTTAATTGCTTGACAACCATTCTTTCGTATAACAAATTTAACCAACTTACGATAATACATAAGAGGATTCTCCACAGCAGGGCAAGGAAATCCAATGGAGGTAAAATAATCAAGCATTAGACGAGTTGGACCAGAGTAAAGAATATCACCCAGGCATAGGAAAGCTGCTCTGTCCAAGAAAGGAAACACATCTGATCGAGGTTTTTCCATTGTTAGCATGACAGAACGTCCACGTTTCCTGTAAAATAAATATAATTAGAATTAATAAAGGGAGCAGAGTAGGTGAGAAGGCTACAGTGTGTGTAAAACAAGCGTTGCTCGGTAGTCTGATAAACCAAAGTTAACAACTTCAAAGCCTGGTGCTGGGTAAACTGTTAACTTTTCACCCCTGTCCTCTTCCCTCACTTAGAAAAATCCTCTATAACCGAAAAGGCTAGGTAGGGAAGAAAAAAAATTATGTTCATTAATTATTTTATTTTATTCATAAAATATTGAGAAAAAAAAAATCAGTACACCAAGAAAGTATTGAGATTTCATTGCAGAGACCAATAAAATTTCCAAATGTTTGAAAGTCTTTTTCCGGATCTACTACTCTGTGACAGACCTGTTCTTGGCCTCTCAATGATTTTCGCCAGGTCAATCTATTCTGGGCAGTCTTTTACTAGTTATGAATGGCCAGCAGCTCCCGGGTGTCCCTTGCCACTCTAATCTAAAATCTACTACTCTGTACTAACTAAAATCACTAAAATCTACTACTCTGTGGCATTACAGACCTGTTCTTGGCCTCTCAATGATTCTTCGCCAGGTGAATCTATCCTGGGCAGTCTATTACTAGTTATGAATGGCCAGCAGCTCCCGGGTGTCCCTTGCCACTCTATCCTTCCATCTTAATTGAGGCCTGGCTCTTCCTTTGATCCCATGCAGTTTCTCATCCCACAACTTCCTTGGATCTTGAAAACTTTTTATAGGCTAGCAAAATTAAAATTATTTATATTTGGGGTGTATACCCATGAAGGACACTGGAAAATATTTCAAAAATTTGAGATGGGATGGGATGCCATTCATTCTGACACTCAGAGAATTTTAGATAAGGAATTATGATGTCAATGTTAATACCTCAGGGAAACATAAACCCATTAATGGGATTGATTGTTACACTGATGGCTCGCTACTGACCTAAAGCTAAAAAATACCGCAGTTCTAAAAAACACTCATTTTATGCTATACCTTGATGGGATCTGTACAAACAGATCTAATCTGTTATTTAACTTGAGCAGGAGTTACCTAAAGAAAATTACAACAATCTATACGGGGCACTGTAAACTGAATCATCATATCACATCACAATTATCATATCATATGAATTATCAAACTTGGACTAGTGGAATCACTTATTTGTAGATTCTATTGCTGAGTTGATGAAACAGCTTACCATATTACTTGGTGACACAGTTCGTTGTTTTTTTTCCCCACAACAAGAATGCGCTGCGGCCTCATAGAGGCCTATTGTGCGTCGTTCTAAAACTATTAAAACAGGCCAGATGCCTTTGCAAACTTGTTAAGAATAATAGGAACTATTAGTTTGCAGCACTTAGGGCCAGTGATACGATGGCATCCAATGTGATAGGCTGTTTCATCTTCCAAGGCACACAGCCTGCAGGTGGGAGTCTCACTTAAGTCCAAGTTAAAGAGGTGCTTATTGAGTCGACAGTGACAAGTATACAGTCTTGTCACACAGGACTTGCAGCTTCAGCCAACTTAAGAAACTCACTTTTTAGCAGCTTGAAAGATTCTGCAATGTGATACAGATCATCAGCAAAACGAAGTGCTTTGCGAAGGTATTCTCATTTCGCAGAGGGCCGCATATAATTTAGACCTCCTTTTGTACTATCATATGAATTTCGAAAATCAACAAAAAAATGCTGGATAATCTTTTGGTACTCTGATTTTTCTAGGTTCATCCTGATGTTAAATATCTCATCAACGCGAGATCTACCCCTCCTAGGACCAGCCTGATATCTGCCAATCTCTCAACAAATGGGAGCAGTTTTATATATTTAATCCTTCTGGATCATTGATATTTAATGAGCAAATGTTCAATCACGATTCTCTATGAACTACCTTATTAAGTGCAATAAAATTTCTATTATTTTCAAGTTATTAAGAAACAGATAAATTATTGTCAACTTTAGTGTAATATTAGAAATAAACAAAACAATCATAAACTAAAATTATATAAATTTATACAAATACAAATTTTAAATGAATAATCAAGTATACCTTGCATAAGAAGAAAGTATTGAGATAACAAGATAAGTCGAGAGTGGATCCAATTCTGCTGTGGGTTCATCAAGCAGTAGCAGTACTGGAAAATTTAAATATTACTTTAATCAACATAATTTGTTGATTAGTAATATGGTTATACTTAGCTTCGTTACATTTTTAAAAATAAATAAAATACAAAAATATCTTTAAGTCTCATTGTAAGAAACTGGCTGGAGAGGGATATGAATTGGTCAAACATGAGGAAGAATTGAAAATACATAGTAAATGATAAGAGTACATTTACTGTAAAAAGATAAGCAGAACAGCACTCCGTCCAATTAAGGGAATGTACTGAAAACCCTCATCAAATCAAGGATTAATTCTAACATCTACAAATATTATAGTTACTATTATAAATGTCCTTGATAAAAAAATACAATTACAGGACCAATAATGCTTTTAGTGATACTTTTTTTTCTTGACATGAGCTTACAATTAGTAGCTGTATATGTATTATAATTAAAAATAGAACATATTGTAATTGATTAGGTATTTAGCTTAGATTATTCACAGAAACAAATAAGTTGCAATGAAAAAAAAAATTATTTTTCTCTTTGGGAGAGGGGACTTCTACCCAAAAGTCCCCTCTGTTGATCAGTCAGTGGCATAGTATAATGATATGAGATGAGTTTAAATAAAGATAAAAATTTCAATAATAAAAATATGGTGCGCGCAACTCACTACTTTCACTTACCGCTTAACTTTGAATAGAAATTATTTTCTGGCCATGTTGGACTATTATAAAATTTTTGAATTGCATTTTTAACCAAGCTAAAGTTAAAAAAAATACACCTAACAAATCATAAATACCATTAAAATAACAAAGTCCTATTTATTACATCACCGGTTGATTATGGATTGTACGATCCCTTGATTATGGATTGCACGGTCTGTTGATTATGGATTGTTATTTATTAAACTGTTATCTCCCATTGCAAAGTTTACTAAAATGGATTTAAGAGATTTGCATTGTCTGTTAAATACAGGTCAAAAGTTGTCACACTAATTGTAAGTGTATACTGTTGTACTGTATAAGATACTGTTGGAATATCACAAAAAAGAATTTCATCGAACTATTCACTAATTTAATTTTTTAAAAGGTTATAGGATGATTTTTTGGAATAAACGGACGATAGTTACCCAAATAATTAAATATAATATCAGATCTAGAGTTATTTAAACTACAGTAAATATATTTAAGGTTATAAACATATGCTTTATACATCCATGAAATGATTTTATATTTCCCTTCTTCTTTCACACAGATACAATGAAATAGTTTTTTTAACAATGGCATTGCCTTGATTAGGTGGAATTTAAATACTTTTTCAAACTTAAAAATATTTTTAAAGTTTATATTTAATTTCCTTGAAAACATAGAATTACATTAATTATATTAGTTTTCAAAATTATTATTTATAATTTTGTCTCCACTCCCAGTTACCTTCTACAACTTTCTATATTAGATATTGTTTTTTCTAAAATTCTCCATTTCTAACGATATATTATACGTATACCTTCTGAAAAATATTTCCGGAGATTCATTTTCAAGCTGGATAAACATTTTTATTTTTTTATCCTTTATTCAATTATGAAACTCTTTCAAAACTTTATTTAGCATTTTTTTGTAACTCTTAATGATGAGAAATAGTTAATTATTTAAAATAAAACATATTAAAGGTACTTTAGAGGAAGAACGATTTGCCAATTTTAAGTTGCTGACACATCTAAGGCATATATCTATCTTAAAAACATAAAATAAGTTTCGTACGACTTCGTTTTTGAGCTAGACTGCTCAAATACACACACACAGACCATTTTTTGGGACTTGGTTATTGGACTCAGGGTGCCCCAATGCTTATATACTTATATATTACACATATACATATACATATATATACATAAGTGGAAGTAAAAAATAAGTAATAGTAAAATAACAGTTAGAATAGTATTTACCTGGATCTTTAATTAGTTGAATTCCAATAACTAATCGCCTATATTGACTTTTATTGAGACTTGAAACACAATGGTGAGCAACTTGATTTAGTGCTAGGTCACTTAGCATTTGACGAACTCTTGTACTACAGGTGTATCTAGAAACCTGACAAAGAGAACATGTACAAAAATAAGTACATTTTCATACAAAAAAAAAAAAATTGGATGAATTGGAAAAAATAGTACGAATAGAACATTGTTTCTTAAAACTTATTTTACATTGTAATTGTACTTTTATAAATTAATAGTGATTATAATTACGTATCAAATTTTAGTAAATTATTTATCTATGGAAAAATAGTATTTTTTAAACAACAAATTTTATGCCTCTAAATTCATAAAAAGAAAAGAAATTTTCAATAATTTTAGTACTTAAATAACTCCCCTCAGGCTATCAACCCATATATTAAATCATGTTTATTATTATGAGAAGGAGTTGATCAGGGGGTGCGGTCAAATAAATACTAAATTATAGAAATAGTATTATTTAATTATTATGCCGATATTTCGACCCACCTTGCTGGTCTTCATCAGGGCGTGGGATATGGCACTGCGGGAGGCAGTTGAAACACTAGTATTTATTTGACCGCACCCAACTCCTTCTCATATTATATCACGGTCAACCATTTCTACATCATTATGAATGTTTATTATTACTTTAGTAAAGTATAGTTATAATCATTTTATATCAAACTGTTTATTGAAATTGGTTTTAAGTTACCATTGAAATTATAAAAGATCACAAATGGTATAAAATTAATTATAATGAAACAAATTTAGTAAATGTTTACAACAAATTCTTTACCTTTTCTCCTGAACTTAAGTTAGCAGCATAGTATAATGTTTGCTCTGTGTCTAAAGATGGGATAAGATCCGTTCTGTGAGTAACATATCCACAAGTCTGTTGAAACCAGCTAAGAGTCAATGGGCTACCATCAAAGAGAATCTGCCCTCTAGTAGCGCCATGAGCTCTGCGTGATATCACATCCAATAATGTCCTTTTACCGCTACCTAAAAAGGGGAGGTGAGAAAATATTTTATGTACATTATGTTTCAATACTGATAGATATTGTAATAATAAATATCTAATTGAAGTTATTATGAGATGAAATGTAGTATTTATAAAATTATAAGGAAATTTTAAACATTAAAATTTCATGTGGAGTTGTCAGAAGTTGTAGTAAATAAAATGAAAAAAAAACTCACATTAGATAAATTTCATGATTTTCAATAATATTTGGCATCATGTTCAGAATAAGCTTCTTAAGAAAGTGAATTTTCCAAAATCTCTACACAATATTCTGCATTCCTTTCTGAATGTTTACAGTTAATGTAAATAATATAAACTCAATCACAAAACAAATTCATGCCGGAACTCGACAAAGCTCAGTTCTTTTTCCCATCCACTTTAACTTTTATCTGCATTAGATCATAACTCTCCGTTTATCTCTATAGGTATGTTTACTGACGGCGGAATAGATTTTTATCAGCGGGAAGACATAATAACAGCTAAGAAATACCTTACGATGTCGCTTCAATGATTTAGAGCTATACTTCAGTAAATAGGTGATCAAACTTAATGTTCAACAATGTAATGCCAACATTTTTGTTCACAGATGTCTAAGAGACCCTCCTGAATTGGTGCTCAACAGTAACAACTTGCCATGGAATGGGCGTAGCCCCTTCCCTCTGCCCCGAGAAAGGGGGTAACTAGCTAAAAAAGTCATGAGGCTCCTTTATCAAGTAGGGCGAATGGCTTCCCTCCTCACTAGGTATACCAATGCCTCAAAACTGAAGAAAGCAAGGAAGTTAAAATAAAACAATATGTGAGTGTACGAAATCTTCAGTATTAAAACAAAAAGAGTTCTCAAACTTTGTTTATTAATGTTTTTTAGAATGCTGAATATAAACTTTATAACTAATAGTAATGAAGTTTAAAGAATTGATCATAATACATTTAATTAATGATTGATTAATAATCATGAATTAAAATAAATGTGTCCAACAAAATTCAGAAAAAAGTATAAAATAATGCAAAACATACTGATTTATGTAAGCATTTACCTACTTAAAGTTTGCTTAGTACCTATTAATATGGTTATCCAAACACTGAATACCAAAATATAACTGGGTATTAATTATTTACCTTTAGACCCGAGGACAGCAAACACTTCTCCAGCTTTGACATCTAATGACACATCTTTGAGTATAAGACCTGTTTCAACATTGCCAAAAAGTCTCTGAATCCAAGAAGTAGGTTCAACCTAAAATAATTGTATCAAATATTGGTTAATGTGAAAAAGAATTTCATATGATTTACAATGAATAATTGAGACTGTTTACCTGGCCAGAGTGAAAGATATTTCTCAATTCCAAAACTGTGTCACTTCCAACCATTTTAAAAGAACGCAATCAAAATAGGATAACGATCTTTAAAAATAATCATGAAACAGAAACTATGAACATCTCATCGACAATAGAAACAGTTAGCTAGAAAGGGACCTAACTGCATTGACATTTACAAAGGACAGGGAAAACTATGAATCAACAAGTGGTTCATGAGTTACAACATACATACTAAAAGTTTGAATTTTATAGCAATGGTATGTAACAACATTTATAAAAGTAAAGTGATAAGCCGCGGCTACAATTCGAAATACAAAATATTTTGAAAATAAGGAAATTGTGTGCATTTACTACTGATAACACGATATTCGATCTTGACAGTATCGATAGTTAGCATAACCTTTTCCTTAGAGAACCTATAGTAACCTTGCTAATAACAAAAGTTCAAAATGCCTGTAAAGTATATTGGTAGAACTACTGATTTCTGCGGAAAGCCACTTTGGGAAATATTGGGTAACCTGAACAATTTCGGTGTTGGGAGATTAGTAAAAAGACACGTATTTGATAGATATCCTGAACCCAGTTTTTTTAGAATTGTCAAAGTAGAAGCTGTAGAAATTGAGGTAATGCTGGGTAATTATGCTTTCCTTTGCTCACCATCTTCAATACTTTTTTTTATTTGCTTTCTTTCATTTTAGCCTGGTGTAGATAGAAGAGTTAGAGCTTGGGTTGAAAAAGTTTTCAGAGGGCGAAGATACCCTAAATTGATTGAGCTGCACAGAGTTTCTTATAAAGCTGATTATCGGCTCATTCCTAAGTCTGATGAAAAAGAACTGTGGGATAAAGTTAATTCGTTGGAACCTAAAGTCAAAATTTTACCTTCATCCAAGCCTTTTCCACCATTATTGGCAGTAAGTGTTAATTAGACAATCCACAACATCATATATTTAATTCCTATAGTTTTGTATATAAAATGTTTTAGTCATCTATATTCTCTTACTAATATAATTGTCAACCAGTGTTGCAGTGATTTCCTACATAATCTTGATAGTCATGTTGATATTGATAGTAATGTGTCTGGTCCCAAAGAGGCTGTTAGGGATGAGGATTCTTTTATATACTATTTTGTTGTAAATTGATAGAGTATAAGAATAAAGATATTTAATATTTAATTAAAATACCTCAAAGAGTTATTCGCTGTTCAGAAACATTGTTTCATTAAAAGACAAAATAAAAAATTAGGATAAGATTGTGTTGTAAATTAACACTAATTTTCAAATTGATTTATTGCAGGAATTAATAAAAGAAGAAATTGAAGCTAAAGGTTTGACATATACCGAGCCTAACTTAAAAATAAAATTTCAGAAAGGTCGAGAAAATTTTTATAAATCTGCCGAGGAACATGAAGTTCCAAATGCTCAGGTCATTGATACTTTCTTCAGAAAACAGTTTGATTTAAAGTCATGAACATTTGTTATTCATTAATTATTGATTTTAACTAGTCTGTTGTAAATATATTAAAGTTATGTATTTATATTACAAAGACATTTGTATCCTATTTCCCTTGTTTTTAATCTTTATTCATTAAAAAAATTAGTTGTAGAATTAATGAACAGATAAAATATAAGTCAATTATTATAGATCATTTCATTTAATATAAAGTATTTTAATTTTGTGTTTATTGCTTCAGAAGAGAGAAACTTAACTAGCCTTAACATAATATTGTTGAAATACTAAGTCTTGAACCTCAAAAATACTGACACTGGTAAATGACTTAACAGATTGAATGTTTCAAATACATCACCAGAATAGAAAATGTTAGATAACATGCACTCAAAAAACAGAATATCTAACATGAGTATCAAAGATACAGTACATCAATCTAAATCATGTGAACATTGCTAGATTTCTGGGTAAATTTTTTTCTTAGGTGGGTGTGTTTTTAGACGGTGTGAGATGTGTGCATATATGTATGAGGAGCTTATTTTCCAAAGGTCACTTTTACAATTTGGAAAAACGTGAGGGATGTGAGTTAGATCACTCAGGCCTACTGCATAACCAATTATGTTATTAAATCCTTTTGGATCTAAGGATGTTGGACAAATATTGAAATATCAATCATTTTTACAAACTATATTGATATTTGTATTACTATATTTGAAGTTGATTAAAGAATTTAATAACAAATATAAAAAATAAAATGATTAATATCTTTAGGAAAAAACTACTTCATGGTGAGTATCTAAAGTTAGACGGAAGCCCATTTAGAATAATATAAAAGGATAGAATTAAGGATTTTGGAGCCTCAGAGAATAATCACAAAATAAACAAATAGACATAATAAAAGAAAAAATGAAGGAGATGGTCCGGGCTTGGGGTCATAAATAGGCTAAATAGTGGTAAAACTATTTTATTTAAAGCCGAAGTTTCGACCCGACTTTGCAGGATTGTGGGGAGTTGGGATAATGGGAGGTTGTATTGTTTTTGGTTGTATAGCAATTTAAAAAAGTAAATTAATTAATAACCATGTCTCATTATCTAATATTCAAATGTAATTTTCTTACATATGTACAACCAAATATAATTATAATTATTAATTTTTTCCCTCTCTATACTTTTAAGTTGGCTCTGCAATACATGTATGTAAATGAAGTTATTTCTATATTTATATTTTACTTTTGCCAATTTTGGGTTTGTTCACATTGTACTCTGATCTAGAATCATGAAATACCTCTCACATCTCTCAACTCTATTTTATATGTATATTTATATATTTAATATTTCATAGATATAGTATTTTTCCATTGTATCCATCCATATCTTCAAAAAATTTTAGATACTGTAATGTCCTGTTTTTTTTCCCAGTTTACTTAGTTAACTTCTGCTATCATTACCGCTGCCTTTCCAGTTCTAAGTGAAACTCCTAGATGAACACACCTGTAAGTCTCTAATTTTATTTCTCTCCTGTAGAATTTGTAGAAGTATATTCACATTTCCATTAATTATATATTACACTACAACAATTTTTAGCATCTATTTACTTCAGTTTAGGATCTTGTTACTCAGCTTACTTTGTCCATATTTTATTGTACTTACTGTTTATAATTTTAATAAGCTTATTCACATTGCTTATAAATTATGTCTAAATATTATGTAAATTGCCACAATTCTCTATCTTTTTGTATCTTGCCTGTCTAGCCCTGATGAAGACCTGCAAAGTCGGGTCGAAACGTCGGCTTTCAATAAAATAGTTTTACCATTATTTAGCCTATTTATGACCGCAATCCCGACCATCTCCTTCCTTTATAATGCAATGGTCAACTATTAAATATTCATAAGAAAAAATATTTATGTTTTCTTTTAACTTTCAAAAATTAAGAAAAAAAAAATGATAGATAAGTGAAAAAAAAAAAATTAAAACAACCTAACAATTTATATACAGTGATTGAAAAAAGTATTTGCACATCATGTTTTTATGAATAAATGAGTTCAAGGAACCAAAAAACTTCGCTTTCCTCTGCAAAAATGAAAAGTACATTTGTTAAAACCTGAGAAAAAGCTTTTGGAAAAAATGACAACACTCCATAATGAAACAAAAAAATTAAAACAATAAAAGTGCTTGGAAAAAAGTATTTGCACACCATGACTCACAAGCTCTGTTTACTTTGGCATTAATCCTCCTGTGTCCATAGGTTATAGGTTGTTTACTAATTTATCTCTAATCGTGTCTTACCAGTATTCTCTAGTCTTTCAATCAGCTTCCTTTAGTCTATAGACAATTATCATGCCAAAGACAAGTGAACTGTGTGCCGCAACTCGCGAAAAAATAGTTTTATTGAAGAGTTAGCAAAAAAAAACATATCGCCAAATTGCCGATTTCTTAGGGTTGAATTTTTCTACAGTGAGATACGTCATAAAAAGGTATGAAGAACGTGGTTCAACTGAAAACAGTGAGCGTAAAGGGCGTCCAAAAAAGTTAACTCCCAGGCTGAAGAGGAAAATCAGAAAAGAAGCTCTTAAAAATCCTCTGATAAGTTCTTGGGAGCTGGCTACCATGGCCCAATCAACGTCTGGAGTTCAGATTACTAGCAGAACAATTAGATATGCCATGAATTCGGAAGGGCTCCATGGTAGAGTTCCAAGAAAGAAGCCATACACCAGTGAAATGAATCGCAAAAAGCGCCTTGCTTTTGCTAGGGAGTACTTACAGAAACCCTTAAGTTTTTGGGAAAATGTCATATTTTTTGACGAAAGCAAATTTAATTTGTTTGGTTCAGATGGTCGAAGGGCGATATGGCGACATCGTAATGAAGCCCTAAAGAAGCAAAATGTTTTAACAACTGTAAAGCATGGTGGAGGACATGTTATGATTTGGGGTGTGTTTCCTACCATGGCTTGGGAAATCTTGTGAGCATCGAAGGCATTTTAAATGCGGAAGGCTATGTGAACATTTTGCGTCGTAATTTGCGTGTTAGTGCCGAAAAAATGGGAATCCAGGCAATTATTGACGCAAATGGCCTATTTACAAATTATTAAAATTTAAAATAAACTTGTAAATGTTGAAGTGTGCAAATATTTTTTTCCAAGCACTTTTATTGTTTTAATTATTTTGTTTGATTATGAAGTATTTTTATTTTTCTGTAAAAAGGTTTTTTTCTGGTTTTAATAAATTTACTTTTCATTTTGCCAAGGAAAGTGAAGTTTTTTGTTTCCTTGAACTAATTTATTCATAAAAACGTGTTGTGCAAATACTTTTTTCCATCACTGTAAATAGTTACAGCAATATCTATTTACAGTTGTATGGAGACTGAACGGTTAGGAAGTGATCAAGCAGTTGGAATTTAAATGTGGAGAAGGTATTGTAAACTTTAAAAAATATTTTTACATCTGTAGAAAGTATTTAAAATCCACCTAAGCAAGTTAATGGCATTGTAAAAAAAAACTATTTCATTGTACTTGTGTGAAAGATGAGGTAAAATCTAAAATCATTTCATTTATATATAAAGAATATGCTTTAATCTTAAATACATTTGCTGTAGTTTAATAATTCTAGATATTCTGATATTATATTTAAATAATTTGCTATCAACGTCCGTTTATTCCGATATATTGTCATGTAACTTTTTAGAAAATTAAATTTGTGAATAATTTGATGAATCTTCCATTTGTGATATTCTAATAGTACCCACTACTATTTCATTGTACTTTTGTGAAAGAAGTGAAATATAAAAATATTTCATAGATACGTTTATAACCTTAAATATATTTACTGTAGTTTAATAACTCTAGATCTGATATAATATTTAAATATTTAGATATATATCGTCCGTTTATTTCGAAAAATCATCATGTAACCTTTTAGAAAATCAAATTAGTGAATAGTTTGATGAAATTTCCTTTTGTGATATTCCAACAGTATCCACTTACAATTATTGCGACAACTTCTGACCTCTCTGTGACAGACAAAGCAAATCTCTTAATTCCATTTTAGTAAACTTTGCCATGAAAAATAACAGTTTAAAAACTAATAGTCGTACAATCCATAATTATCAGATAGTACAATCTATAATCAACATATCGTACAATCCATAATCAATCGATGATATAATGTATAAAACTTTTGTTATTTTAATGGTGTTTATGATTTATTAGCTGTATTTGTTTAGCTTTAGTTTAGTTAAAAGTGTCATTCAAAAATTTTATAATAGCCCAAAATGGCCAGAAAATAACATCTATTCAAAGTTGAGCGGTAAGTGAAAGTTGTGTGTTGCCCGCACCAGATTTTTAACTTCATTATCAATAGTGCCATGATGTGATATAATATGTGATCAAATGAAAACCATCTTTTTTATTTTTAGAACTGGTTTAAACCTATCATCCCGAAAGTTATTTAGGATTTAACACCTGAAAACGTTGTTTTTAGAGTGAATACCATTAGTTTTTATTTATTTAATGTTTTTTTACAAACCTGTTCGAGTTATTATCAACCCAGTTTTTGTTTAAATAATATCTAATTGTATGTACTGACCGAATTATAAACATATAACGAGTTTAATAGCTAATTAAAAAAAATGAGATATTTTTATTATTACATACATGTAACTTTATATATTTATATTTTATTATAATTTGTCGTTATGAAAAAGGTAATAAATTATAAAATATCTGAACAATGTAATGCTTTCAATACAAACTACACAAGACATGGATTTTAAACAGTAACAGTTTTAAACAGTTGGTATCTAGCGCGAATATTTTTGCAATATTTATTTTACGTGAAAGACTTATACTAAAAATACTTATATTGTCTGAAATAATTATTTTGCACGAAAAACTTATTATCTAACATAAAATACTTGATATTAATAGCAATTGATAAGTTTGAGCAATAATGTTAAAAAATATTTTATTTATAGCATATTTGATTTAATTAAACCAAATAGGTTTATGTTAAATAATAAGTGTTTCATACAAAATAATTATTTCAAGAAATGTAAGTATTTCATGTAAAATAAATATTGTTAAAATATTCGTGGTAGATAT